CAGGTGGCAGGCCTGGCTGAAATATGCAGGAGTCAATGAAGGTTGCCTGTCAGCTTAGAGTAGCCACCAAACAGTCATTCGTGTGGGTGTAAACATCCATTAAATGAAATGATGAATTTTGAAAAATTTTGAAAACTGAAAATCTTGAAAATCCCCCTTATGTGTGCATTGCCTTTTTAAAAGCACCCGGCAGCAAGTGGTTAATTAATGGATCACCCCTATGATCATCACGCTGTCAGCATCTATCGGTACCTTTGAAATCAAATTGTAAAGCTGAACTTGGTACTTGGTACATACATGTACATGTACATGTTTTCATGTATATGTAGGGTTACTGATCAGACTAGAAAATGATACAAACTCAATTTTGATTGCCTGTATTTTGTACTGGGGCATATCTCATGCCTGCCAAAAGCAAATTAGACGAAACAAAAGGCGTTGTCAAGCCAAGAGTGTCCTCTTTAAAAATGGTATTAAGTAAAAAGTATTTATGTTAAAAGTGGATAGCATTTGCTTTCACCATGGACAGTGTTTTCTCACACCATTTTGCATTAGCTATAAAATGAAATACCATTTTGAAGTCCTGACACATTTTGCCTGTTTGTATAATCCTAGGAAAGACAAGTGTTTTAGTTTAGAGGGAAATGCGTAACAAAAAAATAACATTGCCAAAGGAACCAAAAAGGGTATTATATGGGGAGCAGTATCAGATGGATTCCAGGAGATTCTTAATGAAATTGTGTCTGGTTCCGTGTAACTGTCCTGTAAGGTTTCTGTAGTGGAATGGCGAAGGGGCCCCTGGAGAGGTTGAGGGAAGGTTGGAGGATGGTTGAGTCACACTTTGCTTCAGGGTTCGGCCAGAGAAACCACAAGCATGCCAAAAAAGAGGGCTGACCGGTGCTGCAGGGGGCAGCTGGCATGCTATGGAGTTTTGAATGATACAATTGAAAGCTTAGCACAAATGTTTGTAAAATTGATTTTTTAATACATGTACCTTTGGGATGTAAATTTATGTAAGCTGAAGCATCAGGTAAGGTGGGCTCAAAGCCGTCAGGTCTTGCAGTTGTAATTTATTTATTTTTTCCCCTTTCCTTCCTTGGTCCCACACATTCTGTAGTATTGTCACTTTTGGGTGGGCTTGGAAGCCCTAGAACTACCTGTAAAAGGGGTTGACTGTCAACACATAACTCTGACAAGCCTCCCGAAAATATTGACCACTTTCAGTGAAGGGCATTGGCTCTTGAATTTCTGGACCGTTCAAGGAAACTTGCTCATAGTGCCAACAAAATTACACATGGCATTGTATTTTGTTAAAAATACATGTAAAAAGCCTTGGTCACCCTGCTTTCCATAGAGTCTCACACGTATCCCTCCTCCCCAATTTTAACCTGCTGTTGAGCCCTGCCTGCATACTGCACTGTACATGTACAGCTATGATCCGTCAATTCAGCAATTGGTTCTGTCTACACATACTGGTGCCAATATTTATGCTGTGTGTTGCTGGTAATCACTACCAGGTGTAGTGTGTTCTATTTTAAGTAACATTTACAAAACATGGCAGTGACCCCTGTCGTGTTTTTTCCTCCTCCAAAATTTCTACAACATGTCTGTTTTCTTTCATTTGTGATTAACAGCTTTCCCTTCCCCTTTCCTTCCCTCCTCCCTGTCTTCCACTCACATCCCCTTATCTTAGCCCCTCTGCCATCTCCCCTACTCTCTGTGTATTCCATTGCACTATTCCATTAAGGACCCTGGCACAGCAGCCCAGACTGATTGTAGGAATCCAATAGAGACCTCGTTACTTGATATGAATGCACTCACACAAGTTTTTAAAAAAAAATCACAGGAGGGTGAATTCTTGAGACTGTAACTGTGCCTCTCTATTATTGACAAAGTCATAATAAAATTCGTCAAGAGGCCTTGAGCAGCAGGGGAGTCAGAATATATCATACTCCCTGAAGAAAGTGCCCAACTGACAAGAAATTTGAATAATGCCGTTTTGATTGCTGTTTGATTGGCGAAGCCTTCAGCGAGAGCCCAGGCGTCATGATTTCGCATTAACCTTTAGTCAGGCAAGATTTTCATTGGTACGGTCTGTAGGAGATCAATAAGGATATTTCAACTAAAATGATCTCCAGATGTTTCTTGTTTTCCTTTGTTTGTAATTTTTTTTCTCCGCCGGCAAGTTTTCAGTCACTGTGACAGCTAAATAGTAGAGTTGTTATATTGCATTTGCACTGTTCCACACGAGTCAGTTTAATACATGCCTTGGTTGATATTGGTTCTTCCTAGAATTGTTGCGGTTTCTTTTAACCTGTGAGTCACAAACTGCCATTGGCTCTCTCTCCTCCAGTAATTTATTTCTCACTGAGATCTACGGTACCTCTTTTTGTCTGTACATACATGTACATGTAAAGAATTGATTTTGCAGCCCTCGCTGTAGCAGTGTTTGGCATGGACAGAGGGGTTCCACCCGTGAAATTTATTTGCCAACAGCCCTAGCAAGTCGACTTTGTCCGGGAAAGGAAGCTGTATTAGGAATTCACAACAGCTTGTGAATTTCTGCTTTGCCTCATTTGGGAAAAAAATATCATGGATGTCTGTCAGGGGTCTGTTGTCAGGGAATCGAGCTGCTTCATTCATTGTGGGTACATAACTTAACCCAGATAAAGCTTGAGGGATTGATTTTTTTTAGAGTAGTTGATTCTGTCTTTTTCTTTACATATTATACATGTACATGCACTGGCTTGGCAAAGTGCCAAGAATCCTCAGAAGCTTTTCACTCTGCAGTATGGGAAGTAATCCTTCAAGGAAAAGATGACAGGAAATGCCCAGGAGTCAGGGAGGAGAACTATTCCTGTATTGTGAGGAAAACCCTGAGAAGCCATGGCAATCAAAATCAAGGCGTGATGCGGCATTGTGGGAGCTTTCTTAACCAAAATGACCTTTATGTATCAGGGGAAAGTCGGAAGATGGAACACTTCCATGCTAATGTGTGTACAGTGTAGGCGGTAAAATAAATGGCATATTTTCTCTTCACATAACCACTGCCTTCCGCTTCTAAACTTGCTACATGTATTTCATCATTCTTTCTCCAATGGTCATAGTCATTCCCTTATTTGCAGTGACACAAGCATCAGTTTCTGTTCGTGCCATTCCCGAGAATGTTGTTTTTCACCTTTTGTGAATTGATTCAAGCAGAGCATTCCCAGTTTATGCAGTTTTACAAGCCTCTATAGTGATAAGTGGTTTAATTTTGGTATGCCCCTGTGGTAACAAACTACTTACTTAGTCAGGGTTGGCTCTCAGTCCATGTGACCCTTCTCTCAATTGTTCCTTTAAAAGCAGAAAATCTTCATCTGTTCTAAAAATGTAGGCATTTTTCAACATACATGTACATGTACGTTCTTTCTTTGAGAGTGTGGGGGAGTAGGCGATCTTGCAATAAACCAATATCAGATGTGAACTATTATTCAAGCTGCTGTATGCAAAATCTGGAGCTCATTATCCAACCTGGGCAAGAGCACAGAGGGATTTTGTTTATGTCATAATCAAGCTGTCCATGATCCATCATAGATATCCCCCACTCTCCAAACACAGGGCCTTTCCTGTTCCTTGGTTTCTCAGGAGAGGTTCCGTTACTGTTTGGCCCTAGGGCCTCCCACTTACAGAAAAGACCAGAAAAAGACGTTTTGATGGAGGAAGAGGTGCAGGCAGCCCACAATGGAATGGTTACTCATATTTCTTGCCTTGCCTTTGATCCAAATCGTTAGTGTGTGTTGCCTTTTTGCGAGCAATTTTCCCAGCATGCGGCTTGTCTCTTCTTCGGATCAGGTGATTTTCTCCTATGCTTGGCCGGCCATAGCAGATACCGTGCTGCCAGGATCTTCCTGTTTTTCAACTCCCAAATTGACCGAGACTTCAAAATTGTGTGCCTGAGGCTTGTGTGCTCTGCATGACTGTGGTCCGGTTAATACTGATCAAAAGCTTCCCCTGGCCAGCTACCATATCCTTGGTGCTGAGTCCTTGGATTGCAGGTACAAGACCAGTGTTGAAGGTCTGGAATTTTTAGGAAGCTGAGTATTGTTAAAAGGTTTTTGTGCTTTTAGTTGTGTGCTATGGTTATGATCCATTTGTTATCTTTTTTTCCAGCAGCAGGGATTCCTAAAAGCCTAGCTGTGCAGCATACCGATATCATCATATCCAGGTTTTGAGTCTGGGGGGATTAGGGGCAAAGGCATTTTTTCCCCTGGAACGATGACCTAGTTTTTTTTTTTTTCCATCTGTACAGTAATCGCCTTATCTCCCAGGCAGGTGATTTTACCATTTCTGAAGTGTTTCCACTTTCTATTTCTAGAAGAAAATTTACAGCATGCCCCTACCCTCCCTGGAGTTACGAGTTTCCATTGCTCCCACCTCCCGTACCCCACTGCATGCAAAATGGATTTTATCATAATTACAGCACCAAAACTAGCGGTACCGAGTAGTTCTCCTGGAGACCTGGGCAGCACTTGTTTTCTGTATAGCAAAGATGCAAGTGTGCATTTCATGCTTGAATCCTTTTCCAGACGGAACCATCATGAGCAGTTTGTCCTGTTTTCCAGGGTAGTCCTCATTGCTTGCTTGTGGGAAAAATGCTAGCACCTGGGGTACTTGTACTTTAGAACCCCATTTACATACCGTACATGGACAACTGTGGTTGTGGGCAGGTTAAGCCAATGAATTTGTATGAGGGATCTTTCTTACATGTAGGGGGAGCACTGCCATGTACTCCATTTCAGTGGAATCTTTTGTCATTGTGGCTTTTCTGGTGATAATACTCTGTGACTAGTTAATAGCCAACTTGACCATTGACTGGTCCAATCTGTCATGTGAAAACGTTTGGGCAAACTACATGCAGCTCTAATGTCTCATTTTTTTTAATACACTTTGCCACAGGTTGAGCTGCACTTTTCAGAGAGGTGGGGTAATGTGTTTTTTTTCCTTATGCTTGCCTGCAGGATTTTGCTGCTGACCGAGCAAGACAACGAGGAGAAGCTGAAGACATGGTACTTTGCCCAGCTTCAGAGCCTCAAGCAACGCATTGACCAGCTGCCCATCACCGAGAATGTGAGTAAAGGAGATCGGACAGTTAAAGCCGAGATGAAATCATCTTCCTGATTCTGCTCCCATCTTTTTTTTTTAATTCTCTGCGTAGTTCGCCTCTTGCCTTCCCATTCTCGTTCTTTTGTTCCATCGGCTTTGTGCCCTTACTCATTCTGTCCCTTGAGCAGCTTTCTCTTTCGTGAACTGTACATGTACATATAGGCCTACATTGTCTTACGTGCTGTTCAAACCATTGTGAATCGCGGCCTGGTCTGAAGTGTATGGCTTCTGCTTTCAATACTAAGTAAGTAATCACTTGCTTTCAGCAGTTGCTACTTCCCATTTAATAAGTGTGTACATGTACATGTATACTCCCAGTTGTAGCTACCATGCATGTACTTCATTTGGACAAGTATTGCCTCATTGTCCATAGGAACACACACATATCCCATTTGTCCTGATCGAATTAAATTTGGTAACAGTATATGCGCCTATCCTATTAGAGACAAAGGTCACTTGAGGTCATGGCCTTGCAGCAAATTAATCCTGTTACCTTATTATCGTGGACTGCATTTACAATGTACCTTCACTGTATGGGATGTGAAGGTTTACCAAGCTTGCACCAAATTGGTGCCAGGTCAAGTTGTTTAACGTGTAGCAAAGAAGGCTGGGTTTCTATTACAGATGGTGTCAGGCATTGGAAATATTGAGTAGGGACACAAAGTGGTACTCTTGGAAAAAAAAAATTCTCTTTGGGGGAGGGCACATTTCTAAGCCCATCGTGGTAGTGGGTTTTAAAATGGATAAAAACTGCTGGGGAGGGTAAAATGTAAATACATGAACATGTATTATAGAAAATACATTTCAATGAACAGACAGGCTAGACCCACAAATGATGTCAGATACTTTGATTCCATGTCTGCATCTTTTCTTGGTCTTAGTGATTTCAGTCTCTGTGCCATTCATGTTCTCTCTAGAGACAGTCCTTTAATTCATTTCATATCATGGGGCAAACTACTTTTATTTGTGACTTTATCTTCGGCAATTTATTTGGAGCTTTTTTGATTAATGCATCGAGCAACATAAATGCTGGACAGCATTTGTACCATGGAATTTTCCAGGGTTGACTTTTGCACCATCATCAATCACAGCGCAGCCTGGCTGGCTGTGCAATTTAAAGACAAATCGGGCATTGGGTTCAGTTTACCCCTAATGGAACTCTTTCTCATTTCACAAAGAAACCTTGCTGGACAGCAAAGGACAGACTTGAAAAACCAAAATGCAAGTCAACATGTAGGCCTACTTTTATGTGTCTTATTTCTTCTTATTCTGTGTTGCAGGTACATGTATTTGAACGTGTTACCAACTTTCTTTTCCTTTCATCCTCAGTTTACATAAAGTACAGCTCCAACAGGCCAGTTGCCTGACCAGAGACGGGGGGGTTCGTCAAACCAAAAAGTGGAACTTTTGGCACTATGAATTATTGAATACATATTTTTATGCAAAGGCATATCACAATGAGCTTTGGAATACAACATTGAAAAGTTGCATGTCTGTCGCGAAGCAAAGGTTGCATGTAAGACTTGTACACTGTTGTTTTCAATATTGAATAAACTTAACAAAAATACATTGATTTCAAACCCTTTGAGACACCTGAAATGTGGATATTGGCTGGAACTTCCTGACGGTACATGTGACTTGAGATTGACTCATTAATATGCAGGATCGTGGTCACCTTGAGCTTGAGAATCAACGTATAAGCCGTGACTTGTATGGCGAATATTACGGTATATTTAAAATATTTAGTACACAAAAAAAGAAAAAAAGACCACCAAGAAGCAGAACTCAGAAGCGAGCGGGGGGGGTTCTGTTGAACCCCTCAAACCCCCCTCCCATTAGGCCAGGACTTTGATAGCAGCCATTCAGGCCAAAATGAACCTTTTACTGTACCAACTTATTTTGCAGTCACTGTATAAAGCCCCCAAAACCCCAATTAAAAAACATTGCTTGTGGATGCAGGACGGTAACGACGGTAACGACGGTTAGATTACAGATGATAATTGGATTGGCTTTCTGGGGCCAAACTCCCCTCGGTGATTGCATGTTTATTTCCCAGTGGTCTAATTGCCCTTATGTCTGCCTCTGTGGCACCAGTAGGCCATCGCTCATTATTAAACACATAAAGGATCAGCATCTGTCAGCATTAATGGCTTGATATACAGACACAGAATAATAATGCATGTATGTGTAGGGTAGATACAATTTGTAAAGGAACCCCACCTTAAAAAAAAACAAAGATCAGTTTGTTCCTTTTCATTTTGTCTTTTCCAACGCGATTATAGAAATTGTGACCAGTTGAAGTGTGTACTGATCTAGGTGGGCTTTCAGTGAATTTGTGTGTGTAAAGAGCTACTGTTCACCTGAATTTGAATGTGGCTGAAATCGAACGTTGCACCGCTTGTTGAGAAGATGCTTAGAATGGCAAAACAATACACAGTTGTCACAAAAAACAGGCCATCAAAATGATAATGTGTCTTTCTGTTGAATTTCATGTAAATGTTCCAACATACGTACATGTAGGTATTAGTATGCAAATCGCCAAGCAAGATTACTGGTACATTGTAGATGAAGGGCTTGGTACCGGTACTCTGCCTACATGTACCATGTACATGTACGTGTGTTAGTAGGTAACACTTTGCCTGCCATTCTGCTGCCTAAATCAAATAAAGATGCTTTGGATGGATATTGCCTGCACGGAGACCAACACATTTTGTTCCTAATTGTTACATACATGTAGATGTATCATGCATGTTCTCGTAGGGTACACTATGCATCTGTACCACATATGTGTGCACTCTGATCTTGTCTTTAGGTTTTTTCCCAGACCCTACTAAATGCACCGTTTGGACTTCATGTCTTTTTGTTTAATTCAGAAACTGAAATAATTTGTAATTCATGGTTGCCTGATTGCAGCACAAATGTTTATCTACTTAAATAAGACGGCGGCCTCATGTACAGTATAACTGGGGCTCATTTAATGACATTGTTGTGGTGACGCATGATGACTGTGTATGGTACATTGCAGCCTTGTGTCTCACAATTAATGTTGGCGCCAGCAACATACGCAATTTTTTTTTTTTACATCAGAGCCTTGAAAACATATTTTTAATATTATGTTATTATTTGTGCAAGACGAATATCCGCTTATCCCCTCATTCAAAACAGATTGATTGAATGCTGGTACTCTCAATAATGTCACTTCAGAATTTCAACTTACGATGCACAGGTCAGAATTTGAGAATTTTCTTTGGGGTAAATATTTGCATACATAAGGTATGTGTGCAGACTTGTTGCATGCCTGAACAGTGAAAACTCTTTTTTATTTTAAGTAGGCATGGAATATTAAAAACGTTGGACAGCGTTGTGTTTCAGGGGTTTTGTGTGCTCCAACTTTCAGTCTTCTTGTTGATTGGATAAACGACTGCCGGATGCAGTCTATCTACATCTAATGCTGACCTCCATACAGTAAAATAGAGATCTCAAGAGGTGCGCAGCTGGAATCCAAGCTGCTTAATTATTGAATGATTTCACTGTTCCTGAATGAAGTGTATTGGGTGTTTGGAGAAGGGATAGCAAGTGGACAAATTCTGCACAAACTCCAAGACTGGTGGACAGGCCTTTCAGTGATTGTCTTTGTTTATTACAATTTGGATTGAATGTGTCGACAGTTTCTACATGACGTTTAGAATTTCTTCAGAACTACATGTACATTTACATGTAATTGCATATATCCTTGACATAACTTGCACTTCTGAAACTAACATTTCCATTCTCAATTCCTTCTAAAACTGGAACCTGTTAAGAGATTGAAATGCTTAAAAGCATTTATCAGGTGACCTGGGAGTAATATGAAATACACCTGCATGTACAGGGTGTTTTTGTGGGGCAAATCCACAGTATTTTACGAGGAACTTCATTCTACACATTGCAAGCATGCATGCAGGTCATGCATGGGTTTGTTGTAAACTTACATGTAGCAAGCCAGAAGTAATAAGTACATGTAGAGTACCTAGTTGCCAATGAACTTTTCCAAGGATGGGGGTGGATCAGGGTTTATAAAAATGGCCCTGTTAATGGTGTGTCCAGATTCTACTGTTGCCTTGAACTAAATGAATAATCAAGGCCTTCCAAACTCTGCAGGTCTTACATGTACTTTTAGTCTGCCTCCCCAGCTTTAATTGTATTCTGGTTGTATTGTATTGGATGGGGGTGGATCAGTTGTAAAAATGGCCCTGTTAATGGTATGTCCAGATTCTCCTGTTGCCTTGAACTAAATGAATAATCAAGGCCTTCCAAACTCCGCAGGTCTTACATGTATTTCTAGTCTGCCTCTCCAGCTTTAATTGTATTCTCACATTCGCCCGGGCGTGGAAACGCCGGCTGGCTAGCATGGTCTAGTCATAGGCATATTAGCGTGATCGCTCCAGCAGACACGGGATGTGAAATTCATCCACAATGTCAGTCATTGGCATATCTGAATCCATCACGGAAATGAGACTTGGCCGGCCTGTTATTTAATATCGGAGGATAGTATTTTGTTGAGCTCTTGCATGGATCCCTATTCTGTTTTTGATCAGAGTGTGGTTTCCACAAGCTGTAATTTATGCCATCACAATTCACGGTTAGAATATCTGTCCCGTGGAAACGTTGTCAAAATGCAGATTGTTCGTGTATGGTTTTCATCTTTAAATACATGTAGGGTAGATTTGATACCGTCAAATTCTGAGAATGTTGGCTGAGTTCTTTGTGGGGGGAGTGGGAGAAGTTGAGATGTTTAGACTCCGTACAACATGGACAGGAGATGACATGGTATTTTACAGTCCTCAATCACCTGATTTTAATTAGAGTCTTCACATACTGTATGGGTTTAGGGTTAAATTGCATTTTATTGAAGATGAAGAGAGGACTTGATAGTAACAGAATTTTCTCCTGTCTTTTTCAGTGACGAGCAACTCTTTGGAAGTTCCGAAATGAAATGTACACTACACTGTGTGTAATTGAGGCAAGATTGTTTTTAGGGTATGATAAAAATGTCTGCATAATGTCAGTTGATGATGTTTGTTGGAACTTTTTGACAGTTTGTGTCTTTGTGGCATTATGGACATAGCTTATACATGTACTTGTACGTTCAACTGGACCTGTGTCCTGTCAGGGAGCAGTTGTCTATCTTGTAGTCATTACACAGGTTGTTCCTGAGCCGGAAGTTTGACCAGAGCTAGCTTACTTAGTATGAGCATGGTAGTAATGGGGTACATGTAATTTGCACTTCATTGGATAGTTAATCAGCCACTGTTGATTGGAATGCTTCTGTCAGCAGCTTGAGTAGGCCCTGTAGTTGCAGAACAGGACCAAACTGCAGGAAACATCCTACTGTTGAGAAATCTCTTTCATCACGGTAGTCTCAACACTGAGGAAAGTTGGACTGACATGTTCTCTCCCCACCTCATCTTTTCTCTTGCTCTCTCTCTCTCCTTTTTCTTCTTTCTCCATTCACACAGTACTCCCTCCAGGCAGACATGTCACGTCGACAGCTGGAGTACGAGGCCCGGCAGCTGCGGGAAGCCATGCAGCAGCGGCTAGGTGCTGCTGACGACATCGGGGAGCGGCACGAGGCCCGCATGCAGCGGCTCTGCCTGATAGAGCGGGAGATGCAGCGGCTTCAGCAGCGGCGGGAGAGGTTGGAACGAGAGGCACAGGTAGGCCTAATGACTGTCCCCCTCAAGGGCCCATTCATACGGACATGCACTTCTGGCAGAGGCAAAGGTGAGGCAAGTTTGACGTCACAAACATTTGCGGCAAAAAACGCACTGGATTTGAAATGTGTTCAACTTGTGCAAATTGGCAACACGAAAATTGTACCTGACGTCACATATTTGCATTCATTTTTGCTTTTGAGTCGGGTATGAGCTGGCCTTTTATCCTGAATTCTTCTGATATGTACTTGTTGCAGATTCAAAACAAAATACAGCCTAGTTCCTGTCAAATTTCATAGAGATTGATACCTCAGTTAATTTCTAATGTGAACAAAATGTGGAATTGGTTAACAGCATGGCATGGTGTCTAACTGGGATTCACAGTTTTTCATTCAAAAATGGCCATAGAGTCAGGATAACTGTTCTCCAGTCACTGACCTTAAATTCTAACCACTATTGTTAAAACCAAAATGACTTGTGCAGTGAAGAAAATCTGAATTTTTAAAGTGAGTTGTCGAGCAAATCTTAAGTGACATCTTGGGGATTACATGTCTGACTGTTTAATGGACCACAACAAAAGAGCATCGTGAGTTGGGACTCACTGTCACTGAGGTGGTTGCAGTTGGTAGAGTGAAAGTGCTGTTAGAGCCTGACTCCTTTCCTCAAAATCCTTAAGAGGCGCTGGGGAATTTCAGACTTGGGCCACTAATCCACAATTGATTTGAAGTGCAGCATTTTGGAATTGTGGACGGTGCTGCACAACGTTGATGCAGAGAATCCAGCCCGATTTCTATTCAGGCAGTTAATGTGCTTCTGACGTCCACATTTCAATTAGTGCGGGCAGCTGTGACTCATTTGCAAACCATCACTAATTGTCTGTATTGACCTTGCTGTGCTGATAGTATTTCCATGTGGCAATGTCTGCCACATGCAGTGCATTCTAATCTCTTGTTGATACGTGTGATCTCACTGTGAGTCTTGATTCATTATTCAGTGAAGGTTGCACATTTTGCTGTCCTCCTTTACTTCCTTTGCCCTAACAGTCCTGAATGCTCCAGTAGTTTGAGAATTCAGGACTGTGAGGGTTAATGATAGTGGTTGTGACTTACCGGGTACCTGTACATGTTGTCTGTGAGGTATTTGTTGTCTGTTTTTAAAATTTTATTTAAAATTAAGATTCATGTAGAACACAGTGAGGAAGATTTAACAGTGAAACATAACCAGTGAACACCCTGCCTTTGACCATACGGTATTCCCTGCTCTATGCTCTGACTATCCTCCATTGACCATTCAGTGCTACTTATTCTTCTTTGGGCACTTGGGAGAAAGTTAATGGGCAGTCCAAGCTACTCAGCTGAAGATAAATGCTAATAGTCACTGCCCTGAGCTCTGAGGCACAGTAGTCTTAAATGGATGCGCGCTAGGCTCAGTGTATGCTTTCCCTAGCCTGGAGTTACAGTGTCCTACAGGTATAACCTAGAGTCCAGGGTCACAGACCTGTCTTCTGTGGATTTGTCTACAAAAGACCAAAACTGGAGATGCACCTGTTTATGTTGCTCTTTAGGTTTTTAGGGCTGTTGATGCCTTTGAGAGCAGTGATTGATTGGGAAAGTAAAGAGGGTGGCACTCTCTTTACTGTTTTAGATACGAAAGCCAAGTAGGATGGTTTTCATTTGGGTACTGTACATGCATATCCCCATGGAGGGAAGTACATGTAAATGAAGTCTAGCTAGGCCGACTGCTTCCCCTGTTGGGATATTACTGGTTTATGTGCACCAATTGCACTGAATTGCTGGATTTTCTTTCTTCACTTGGGATGCATTACTACTAAAATTATTCAGTGAATAGGCACCGGGTTACGTTGCAGGCAAGTTTCATTTCATCATGAAGTGTCTCTGTGGATAACAACTTCTTTTCTCCAGGCTTATTACATTTTTATTTGGGTTAAAGAACTTATGAGAAGAGGGGCAGCTGTGTAACGACCAAAGGTCAATGACCAGAGTGTCATTCTCATGTTGGTACCCTGCCAAGTGGTGACGAATGGTTGGCCCGTGGACTGTCACTAATCCATTTTGCTGGTGCCGCAAGTCATTTGTGCTTGTAGGAATTGCTTCGCTTCATTCAAGCATTAATTGCAATTAGTGAAATGACAGGTTAACAATATTAGGCAATACCCGAATGAAGCAATATCTTTTTTTCTTAGAAACTGATTTAGGGAAGGGTAGTCTTGCACGTGGAAAAAGTTTTCTTCAAGAGCGATGTACATGTACATGTGTGCACTTGCATGTGTGTACATGAAAGTAAGATTAATATCTGTGGTGAACATGTTGACTGCCAAGAATACTCATTGTCACAGGTGCACCAGATTCTGCCGCTGCGAGTACAGGTTTGGTTTATTCATAGGAAGTGAAAAGCTATTGTTATGTATACACCGGCATCAGTGAAAAACACAAAGTATGCTACTGGCAATGTGGAAGACGTAAATCTGTAAAATGCTCATGTTCAAATAGACACCTGAAAAGTACCTGTTAAATATACGCACATGCATACAACACTTATGGGAACGCCCCTTTGAAATTATACGTTGCAGTCAATTTGCTGAAATTTTGGTTTTTGTCTGTGTATGCCAGTTATTTTTCGCAAGCTCTATAATCCTCTTGTAGTCTTGGTTTGGTAAAAGATTTGAAACTTCTTGTGACTGTTGCTTTAAATGTGAAGGGTTCTTACTGCTTGACAGTATTTTGCACAGTGTAAGATAATAGCTCCAGGTACTACATGTGAGTACTAGATTAATAGTACTTCTGTAAAGGGTAACAATCTTTGTTCCTTGTCTGATTTTTACCAGGAGAACTCTGGACATGGCAGCAGTAAAGACAGTCACAGCTCCCCACTGAATGAACCCAATGCCAATGACCCTCTCCAGCGCTGTTCCAACTCCCCTAAGCCAGGGAGCAGTGCCCACCACACACCCGAGACCAAGCCCAAGGATCCCAAGCACCTGCTAAGCCATCTCCCCAATGGCATGAATCCTGCCGCGCTGACGGGTGCTGTGGGCTCAGCAGAGAGTGACAGCCCCTACGCGCACCTGTCAGCGGACGGGAGTGTCCAGCAAGCAACAGGTGGTATTGAGGGACCTGGCGGTGTGAGTCCCTCCATTCCACCCACCATGCTGCATGGGACGTGGCCGTACGTCGGGGGTGCCATGGCCATCCACCAGCGCCACGTCATCAAGAGCACCGTCAATGCGACCTCCTCCTCCTCAGAGCAGGAGACATCCAGTGTGATGAGCTTCAGCAGTTCGGCGTGCTCGTCAGGGCCAGGACGGAGGTTACAACCAGGTCAACTTGGCGCCAAGGTCAGACAAGATAACATGTATAGCGTACAGAAGATTTGGGCTGTTTTGGCGATAGAAATGGCAGAATGATTTATTTCACTATTTAATTTGATGGAAGCAATTATAACCCATACTTAACAGTACACTCTTCAGTAAGTTATCGATGGTTGCACATTAACAATATCAAACCATTTAGGAAAGCAATTTAGCAAGGTTATTTTGGAAAATTTGGTTAAATTTGAGAGATAAGACACAGTAAATAAGAGATCGACCAAACGCTTTTGTTACGTACCGGTAGGTTGAGATGGTGTACTCACTGCTGTCAATGCTGGGGACACATGACAAGGACGACATGTCTCGGACACTGCTTGCCATGTCCAGTTCACAAGACAGCTGCATTGCCATGAGGCAGTCAGGTAAGAAGGATTCAGGTTAAAGGTGCTACATACCATTTCCACTCCATGGGAAAGAGTGAACATCAACCAAATTAGATCCCTCTTGACCTGTTCAGTAGATGCTTGTTTTCTTCTCATGAGCTGAATTTGTACTCCTCTGTGCCACTATACACTGAAAAAAACTGCATAAAGCCTCCTACAGTTTTGAAGTTGTTTTCCATTTATCAAATGCCAGGTTGAAAGTATACATAGTAAGGACGACATTATGGTTGAAAGATTTTTTAATGCCATTTCCTCTTTTCTGTCTTTCCTTTTCCTTCCTGCGCAGGTTGTTTACCCCTCCTGATCCAGCTCCTCCATGGTCCGGACAAGGACTCCCTGCTTGGGGACACACGAGGTGGCAAGGAGGCCCGGGCGCGGGCAGCAGCAGCCCTTCACAACATTGTGCACTCCCACCCGGAGGAACGCTGCCGCAAGCAGGAGGCCAGGGTGCTGAGGCTGCTGGAGCAGATCCGAGCCTATTGTGACTCGCTGCGGGAGGCAGACGGGGAGGAAGGATCCAAGGCCAATGCAGGTGAGACACATACTGTCAGTTTTCACATGCATGAAGACGCAGTTTTGAGTTTTTAAATTTCTGTTCATCCAACAGCGCTGGTTACACGAAGACTTTGAAGGCATGTTCAGTTTGGTGGGAGGAAAACCCCAGATAAATATTTCGGGGAAAGACCACAGAATCAGGTAGGGATTAAAAACCCAATTCACATGCCCACCAGGTGGGATTTTAACCTGGGCTGCCGAGGCGGAGGACGAGGAAAGAGCCACTATGCCTACCATTTTTTTTTTATTTTGCTTCTCTGCTTGTTTGTTTGTCATGCCTGTCTTGTCTATCTGTCCTTGTCTGCTTGTCTGTAATTACCTGTCCAAAGGTAAGGACTCAAAAGCAACTTGTTTCACCCTGTGCTTGACGTTGCTGTATACCTAGTTCATTATAATGTTTGTGTTTCTTATTATGCACAATTGGTATATTCCATCAGTATAATGGTATGTTAAATGTTTAGAAGCAACATTGAATCATATGTTCAGTTTAGTGAGTCTGAAGTCAACATTTTCAGTTATTTGTCATTGATTTTGGCTATTTTAGAAGTGGACTTCAGTAATATAAGAATCCCTTTCAGAAAATGTAAATCAGGAAATGGGATAATTGTTTGGTCACTAACAGTCCTCTGGGGACACAGGTTTGTGTTAATGATCAAAAGGAATGACTGTTAACTGTGAGTTTTGTGACATTGCAATCCACAAAGCCTCTACATGTACATGTACCGGTACTTGTGATTTGATGAATCTTGATACCCCTCCAAAGGGCATCCATAACCAATCAAGGTTTGTTGAGTATACATGTACATGTTGCACCTGACTGTACTCAAGGCATGGAACACTTGATACTTGACAGGTGTAAAGTTCATGCTCAATGCACAACTTCATGCACTAGCCCATAGTGAGCACTGCATACATGTACATGTACATGTACTCGTATGACTATTCTTTTGCCATCAATCAGTATTAAAAAGGTGTGCTATGATGTCAGCTATTTAGAAAGAGACTGTTAGCTACAATGTATGTCTTTGCATTGGTTTTTTGCTCGGTCTTTTTTTTTTTAGGTCACGAAAGGCTGTTTTTTTTAAAATGTGATTTATGTTCGAGGTTTTTGCCTTGCAGTTGACACCAATCCAGGCCCAGCCATGGCAGCTCTCATGAAACTGTCCTTTGATGAGGAACACAGAAGTGCAATATGTCAACTAGGTGAGAGTTAACAATCTTTGAAACCTCTTCAAAAAGCTCAAAAAATATTCGAGTTTGGAGTATCTGGTGTACAAAATACACAGAAAAAAATGGAAGCTTTTTTTATAGTGGAATTGCACAGTGTGTTTGGGTAGTAAATGCATTTTTGGTAGGCGTAGGAACTCTAGGCAGAGTGGAAAAAGTAACTGATTACTGCTTTAAATTTCTGGGGTAGTTGACAAGGTTCAGTTGATCTGCTCCAGGATTGTAACCTGCAAAGTCTTTTCAACTGCATCAGCAAAGTAACAATTCATCGAATTTGAAATTGTAAATCAGAGGATTGTTTGAATATCTTCAAGTAAAATTATGCCCATCACTGGTAATCTTTGTCTTTGGTTCTTTGACAGGTGGGTTGCATGCCATAGCTGATTTGCTTCAAGTTGATTATGAATCAAACGGAAACACGAGTGACCAGTATGCTATAACTGTTCGCCGCTATGCTGGCATGGCCCTCACAAATTTAACGTTTGGTGATGCAGCTAACAAAGCCCTCCTCTGCTCCATGAAGGGCTGCATGCAAGCCCTGGTCCTTCAGCTGGCCTCTGAGAACGAGGACCTGCGGCAGGTGGCAGCCAGCGTTATCCGCAACCTGTCGTGGCGAGCTGACCTGGCCAGCAAGAAGATCCTGCGGGAGGTTGGGGCAGTGGTGGGCCTGATGAAGTGTGCGCTGGAGGTCAAGAAGGAGTCGACGCTCAAGAGTGCACTGAGTGCCCTCTGGAACCTTTCTGCCCACTTCACGGAGAACAAGGCAGACATCTGCGCAGTGGAAGGTGCCTTGGAGTTCTTGGTGGCGACGCTGACCTATAAGAGCCCCTCCAGAACCTGGGCCGTGGTAGAGAATGGCGGCGGGATTCTGCGCAACATCTCCAGCCATGTGGCCACCAATGAGGTCTACCGGCAGGTGCTGAGGGACCACAACTGCATGCAGGTGCTGTTGCGCCACCTGAAGTCCTCAAGCCTAACCATTGTTAGCAATGCCTGTGGAACACTCTGGAACCTTTCGGCCCGGAACAAACATGACCAGGATCTGTTGTGGGAGCTGGGGGCTGTTAGTATGCTTAAGAACCTGGTGCACTCCAAGCATAAGATGATTGCAATGGGCAGCTCAGCGGCCCTCCGTAACCTCATGTCTGCCCGGCCTGACCTCCTGAATGCCACCGAGAGCCACAAGGAGGGACAGCCCACGCTCCACGTCCGCAAGCAGCGTGCACTCGAGGCCGAAATTGACAAGAATCTCAGGGAAACCTATGTCAGCATGGAGAAAGACTGTCATGCCATGCAGCGGCGGATGCCCGTTCGCAGTCAGCACCGGTCGCCGCAGAGCTCTGCTGATTACTCGCCTGTTCCGCAGCGCATTGCAATCTGGAACCCTCAGCAGTCACCGACCCACGAACTGATCTTGAGCCAGCACCGGGAACGTTCACAGTCCCCAACTTCACGTCAGGTGAACTGTAGGGATGCCCCTCACCCAAGGGACCAGGACCCTAGGAAGTTGAGTGGCAGATCCCCTGGTCTGGATGGTGAGCACAGTCGTGCAGAAGACAGTTCTCAGCATCACTCGGGAACCGGATCTTTAGAAAGCACCCATAAACGACATATAGGAGGAAGCAGTAGAATTGCCCAGGTAAAGAGGGATAACAGTTTCAACAAGCTCTGTTTTGCTGAGATCAAATTTGAAAAGGTTTTTAAAGGTCTAAAATCCACATCAGCCATTCCCTGGTGCTCTTGAGTTTTGAGCAAAACGTTTATTTTCAGGTGCACTTGAGCAAAAGACTCTGGAAGACAAGCTAAGTTATTAAATTAAATTTTTCCAACTACCTTTTTTTAACAGGTGATGCAGGAAGTTGCCATGCACGCTGGGATCGACATGTCTTCATCTTCTCAAGAACCACACCTTTACCTAGATCAGCAAACACAAGATAACATTGAGAGAGAAGCCCCCTCCAGTGTTGAACTTCCGCCCGATGACAGGTGTGAACCGAGCAGTCATTCTAACAGCTCTTATAATGCCTTTGGTTTCGGGGGATACAACATGAACGCACGCAGAGCTTCCAATGACAGTATTAATAGTATAAATAGTGACATATACCCTATGGGTACTCACACTAAGTTGCCGTATGCCAAACAGCCAATGGATCACTCCCACTCAATGGACGGCACTCTAAACAATGCCCTAGACCAGCACCAGCGGCAACACAAAGCCATCTTCCAGCGTGTCAACCACGAGGACTTGGGTGCTAACATGGACTCCACTATCAACTTCAGCCTGAAATACTCGGATGAGAGCCTCACACCCGCCCCTCGGCCTTGCCCAAGGGAGGAAAACTACCAGCCCAAGCCATCTTTAGAGTGTGGCCACTACAAGCAGGGCATCTGTGGTGAGAAGCGTGTAATTGAGAGCTGCCCCCAGCAGGGTGATGACAACCAGCCACAGCCGGTGGTGCTTTGCCAGGAGTGCAATACCCCTCATATGCAGAGGGAGGGGATGGCAGTAGGCCACACCTTTGTCCCTCCGCCTGAAACAGAGAGAATTCCAGGGAATTACCCCAGCAGTTATTCCAATCCTCCAGCTGTACAGCGGAAGCTGATGCCCATGAAGGACCCCTGCAGTCTGGACTTTGGTGGAAACATGGAGGATGAGAAACCTATAGATTATAGCCGACACAACTTGCCACACTCGGGACATCTGAGATCAAGGTTTAACGAGGATGACCACGAACATTATGTCAGTGATCAGCCAACTGACTTTACGCAACGTTACAACACAGACTTGCCAGAGTCCACCACAGAGGGAATCAATTTTGTCCAGACATCCTTAACAACGGGAACAACTGGTAACATCTTTATGAACAATAATGAGAAACAGGAGGGTCCCCTGGGTAACATGCCAGATGGCAGCTCTTCCAGAGATAACAGTTCAGAAGGGCAGCTAGACCTTCTGCGAAGTGACAGTGTTGACACCTCTACATCACTCAGTTCAACTCACACAGCAATATCTAGGGCGAATGATGACAAAAAACAAAGGTACTGTGTTGAGGACACTCCTGTGGTCTTCTCTCGCTGCTCATCACTCAGTTCATTAGACAGCAATGAAGCTGACCATCACTTGGATCACCAAGAGGAGGATGGGATCCACTCCAAACAAGACAATGAAGGTCACCCGAAGGACAGTGAATGTGATGAGCAGGATGGTGATCAGAGGAGAGAGAATCAACAAGAAGGGACAGGCAATGAGCCCATTGAATCCGGCTTGCAAACACCTGCAAGCATGAATCAGATCCAGGACACCCCTCTCATCTTCAGCCGGTGCAGCTCAGTGTCCAGCCTCAGCAGTTTTGAGGTACAGTCCATATGTGATGATCACAGCTCCTGCTACAGTGACAGCCGTAGAGCCAGTGAAGTGGTTAGCCCCAGCGACCTTCCAGACAGCCCCAGCCAGACAATGCCTCCAAGTCCTCGACGAGGCCGCAAGCAGGTTTCCGCTCAGACTTCATCCTGCGATCCTGAAACTGTTGGGGTGCTACCAGAATGTGAAGAAAATCTTGTGACCTATGCCACAGAGGGCACACCTGCAGACTTCTCTTGTGCAACTAGTTTGAGTGGTTTAACCATTGATGATGAAGAGAAGGCCATTGTAACTAGTAACATCCAAGATGAAGGTGACACCATGGACCTCTTGGATTCAAAAAATGAAGTGAAGGAGTCAGAAGTTGAATCTGGGGATATATCGGAAAGGGAGCAGAACATGCTTGATGAGTGCATAAACTCTGCCATGCCACCTAAGAAGAGCACCTTGTCCAGCAAACCTAATAAGATCAGAAGTCACAATGCTGTGAATGTGCATTCTGTCAAGAGTCCCCAACAGAATGGAAAGCATGTGAGCTTTAGCCAACAAGTATGCAGTCAGGAGGCTCCAAATTCTTATGCCACAGAAGATACTCCAATAAATTTCTCAACTGCAACATCACTTAGTGATCTCAGTATTGAAGACATAGACATTCAGGCGACGAAAGAAGGCAAACTGAAGGTTAATAATCCTCTCTCAAGCAGCGAGGCTTCCCTTGATGGCCAAAATGCTGCCACAACGAAGCAATCTACTGTAGTGCCTGGAGCCCAAGGGGATGAGATGAAATCAGAATCAAGCTCACTTATCAATGATGCCGAGGACTCCATGCTGGAGGAGTGCATCAACTCAGCCATGCCAAAGGCCCACTTGAACAAATCCAGGTCATCACAGCTCAGCAAGCACCGTTCAGCAAAGGGTATGTCGAAGCTGCGTAGCCCTAAACCCAGTGGTCTGCCCCGCAAAAGGCTGCCATCTGCTGGGGTGCGACACAAGAGCCCCTCACCCATTCCTGAGATGGGGTCGGAATATCAGAATGCTACCAGCAGCCAGGAGAGGGTCCAGCAGTGGCAGAATGGTTTTGGGGGAACCACAGACTCGGTCAGGACATTTTGTACTGAAGGAACCCCACAGCAGTTTTCAACTGCAACATCTCTGAGTGGTCTCTCCATGGATTCACACAATCAGGAAGATGTCTTAAATGGCAATGTAACAGCACAGGTTGACAAAAGTGAACCCTCAGAAATGAAGCGCAGGCAGATTACCAGTGGTTCTTCTCACATAGACTCTCCAAGGCAGTATGCAGTTGAAGGCACCCCCATGTCTTTCTCTCGAAATGACTCCCTGAGTTCCCTCAGTTGTGACGATGATGTTGACTTATCCAAGGAGAAAATGATCTTGAAAGACAAAATGCAAAAACATAAGGCAGATGGGGCCACCTCTGTGCAAAATAAACAGTCAACATCCACAAGGTCTCTCTCAAAACTCCCGCAGCCATCTTCCAGGATTGCACAACTGAGAAGAAGGTCAGAGAAACAAACTTCTGTTGGGGGCAAGCCACAGAATTTAAGGGAACTGCAATCCCGCCAAATGGTCAGCAACACCAGTTCCTCATATGATTCCCCACAAGTCTTCAACCTGGAGGGGACCCCAGTGTCTTTTTCCAGAAATGATTCTCTGAGCTCACTGAGCTGTGAGGAGGATGCTGATCTCCATAATGATAAGAGAAGTCTGAGGGAATCTAAGGAGTCAAAGCCAAAAGTGAATACCCAAAGCAAAGAGGGCAGAGCACAAAAGAGAACAGAAGAATGTAGCCAGCGGGAGTATTTGAGATTTGGTCAGTCAGGATCGAAGCCAATCCAAGTTAACAATCAAGACCATAACTCTGAAAGACCGAACTCAACTGAGACACCTGTCAAATTTGCTGTAGAAGACACTCCTGTTTGCTTCTCTAGAAACTCCAGCCTCAGCTCTCTAAGTGACCATGACCAAGGGGAAACTCAGCATGAAGAGGAATCCCCACAGCCAGAACCGTCTCACACTAGTGTCTTTGCTGTTGAGGATACCCCCATCTGCTTCTCTCGGAACAGCTCCCTGAGTTCACTGAGTGTGGAATCCCTGGATGGAGAGACAAGTATTGGTGAACAGGCTCTCCTAGACGAATGCATCAGCTCAGCCATGCCACGCAGTCAGGGGAAGAAAACAAAGAGAAGGCATCACAAAGCCAGCAGGACACGGGAAACCAGAGAAACTGAAGAAAGAGAGAAATATGAATCTGGTTCTGACAATCCCACAAACGACCTAGAAGATAACCAATTCTCCCCTCTCTCTCCATCAGAGGATGCTTCTAATGAATTTTCTGAAATTACTGAGCAGTGTCAAGATGAAGATAAACCCCACAGAGGTCCAAGGATCACCAAGCCAGGGGAACCAGGGTCTAGAATACAATCTGAAACTCCAGAAAAAGGGGTGAGAGGTGGAAGGAAGACCTACAAAAGCCCAATTTCTAATACTTCACGCTCTGTTTCAGTTCCCAAAAACATCCAACCAAACAAGTACCAGGCCACAAGAGCAGGTGCTCAGAAAGGATCACAAGTGAACAGTGCAGCATCCAAGAATAGTGTGACAGGAGTTAAAGGTACCACACCAAACAGAAGTGGTAATAGCACACCTGTTAGGAGCAGCACACCAGTGAGGACCACCACTGCCCAACGTGAAGCCAGCCCAAAAGGCAGCTCATCCAGCAAGCCACCACCCATCAATACTGACACTTTTACAAAAAAGAAGAACCTCACTCCAGGTTCAGCAGCCACAGCTAGAAGTGTAACATCACAGCCTAAATCTACCATGCCCACTGGCACTGCAACCAAGAGTCTTGCAAATAAGCAAGCCAACTCCAAATCAGTAGCCCAAGGAGTTGCCACCAAAGCCAGCCAGCTCAGCAAAGATGCCAATCGAACAACTCCTTCAACCAGATCAAATCTGTCCCAGAAGAACTCCCCAAACTCTTCCCGAAACACTTCACCGTGCTCTCCTACGAGTCGGTCTCCAAGAGGTTCCATCAGCGGTCCCACCTCTCGTAGTACAGCTCAGACAGCCAAAAGTAGTTCTTTAAGTCCTGCAAGGAGTCCAATGTCCTCAAGAACAAGCTCTCCAAGCCCTCACTCCACAGCCAGCACCAGAAAACCACTGAACGGAACACCAAAGAATGGAGCACCTGGCCGAGGGTCAGGGGCCAGCACCTCCCCCTCACCCAGATCAGGTCTTCCAAGCAGGAGTCTGTCCCCAAGGAACAGTGTCACTGGAACATCACAGAAGAGCACTTCCCCCAGGAGCAGTATTTCGGGAGCAGGGACAAGAAATGCATCACCTCGTAGTAATGTCTCTGGTTTAGGCTCAAAAAACACATCACCAAGGTCAAGTGTTTCGGAGACATCTGCCAGAAGTGTGTCCCCTAGGAATAGCATTTCAGGCATCCAGGCACGAAGTGTCTCCCCCAGGAACAAAACACTCACAAAGGCTCCTGTGAAAAAAACCAACAATGCACCTGCACCTGCAGATAAGAAGACAACTGGAACTGGAACGAAAACCAATCGCCCCAAAAGCAGCAACGTGTATCGTTTGGAGGTTGGGTCTTCCAGACCAACACTAGTTAAACAGTCAACATTTACAAAGGAGAGTGCTTCTTTGCCTGAGCAAACCCCTGAGAACACAATGGGAGTTGAGTCAGAAGCGGAAAAGGTCATCGAGGAAAATGATGAGAATGAAGGCTCTGTTGAAAATGATGTCTTCACCATGGATGACCAGGAGAATGACAGTGAGGAAGAGAAGGAAGAATCTGAACCTTTAGCTCCATCAAGTAGTTGGAGAAGGATCTCTGTGGAATCAGACACTCAGCAGAGTGTCTTGGAGAAGACCCAGAGGCCATCAGGTTCCCCAAAGACACAGTCCTCTGGCAGTGCCTCAAAAACACCTCCCACCTCTAAAAAAATGGCTCTCAACTTAGTTAAGCCTGGCACCAAAACTGTATCATCAGGGAACACTCCAAATACTGCCAAGGCAGCTGTTAAGAACTCACCAGCACTCTCACAGAAGTGTAAGAGGGAACAGCTAGAAGCCAAGCCATCCTGGAACAGCAGTGTCACAGCCCCAAAGAACTGGGGCAGATCAAGCAGCCCAGCTAATAGCAGGCCAGAGAGCCCAGCCATCAGTAAAAACCAATCACAAAGCCCCAGCCTGAACAAAACCAAATCACCAAGTCCTGGCATCCAGAGAGTTAAATCACAGGAGAGGGAAACTGATGAACTCAGTAAAAGATCCCCAAAGACTACATCTGAGACAACACGAGATTTGTGCAAGGAGTTAGATATACCAGTGAAGAATTATGGTGGAAATGTGACCTCTCCTGTATCAGACTCCAGTGACAACAGCATTTGGATTAAGAGGGAGGAGAGCACACGGAGGACCAACATCATTATCCGACAAAACAGCTCCAGTGTGAGCTTACAAAGTCAAAACAGCCAAAGTGGCTCAGCACGAAGTGTGAAATCCTCCAACAGTGCCACAATGTCTTCCAGTTCTGCGTCAGCCAGAAATGCTAATGTTACTGATAAACCCTCTGGGCAGGGTGCTAAGCCTGTAACGTCTGGAAAACAAGGCAAGGAAAAGGATAGCACTGAAAAGAAGGTAGAGAAGAAAAAGTTCTCTTTTCTGAAGCTGAAAGTGAAAGGGAAGAAACCTGAAGCTGAGGAAACAAAGACAAAATCCAAGGGGGACAAGCAGCTTAGAGACCAGAAAAGAAAAACGAGCAAGGCTCCAGCTCACACAATGAGCCCTGAGTCAGATGTCACAAGTCCAGAAAATGATCTTGAGGCACTCAATCTAGAGCATCAGCTGGACCAGTTGGACGTTTGGAATAGTGATGACAACATTGACAACGAGATCATGCCGGATGAGTTCATCGAGTGGGACAGTGAGACAGACATCTTTAAGGAGGAACTCCCTGATGAGTACTTGCTTGAGAGCGGTTCTGATGTGACCAGCAGCCTGACAAGCCCCGACAGTCCTTGTAAAGGTGCCTACCAGATTGAGAAGGGCAACCGCACAGACGACAGTCCCTCACCGGAATTCAAGCAGTTCCGGCTGGAGAATCGGCTGAATTCATTTATTCGGATGGACTGCAGTGAAAAGGAGTGCGACTCAGACAGTACACGCTCGGCCCCTGTGGTAGGGGAGGCAAAAAACTGTCGGAGTAAGAGTGTCTCGGATGCATACCCTGCTTACTCCTCCGGGGACCAGTCCCCACCCCGTCCCCAGCGTCTTCGTCTTCCAAAGAAGCCCTTTGGGATCAATCGCAGTGACAGCTCGCCGACAGCAGCTATTCCGGTTCTAGTGTCCCCCTTCAACTACAGCCCCAGCAAACGGAGCCAGAGTGAGCCACACAGCCCAGACATGGCCCGTCGTCGATTCCAGTCGCACCATTCTTACAGCTTCCATGAGTCCAGGGAGCACCGGCAACGATTTAAGCAGTACAAGCAGCAGCAACAGCAGGCGCCACAGGAGGAGTATGTATGTAACAGCGAGGACAGTGACTTGATAAGTCCAACGTTGTCATCCAGAGTAACAACTGTCTGATAAACATGTACTTGTCATCAGAGGGCAAGCTGTAGTAAGTGAGCAAATCCTACAGTTCAGGATCCTACAAAAGCTCTTGAGGGTGTGTCACATGAACCATTGCAGCAGGAAAACTCTCCAACAATATGCATGCTGATGCCAGTGGAAAGAGCACAAGATTTATTAACCATTACTTCTCACCTCTCACCTGGCATTTTACTAAGTTGATTACAGTTCATGCTTGGAATACTGCTTGTTCCCCTGGTTATGCTCCAGTGGAATTTTTCAAAAGGGAGGGGAAGTTACGAGTTTTGAGACAATCCTTTATTGAGAGTTTTAATTTAGAGACATGTCTTTGGTCGATTTTTAAACAATTGGAGACAGTTTCTGCTGAAAAATATGTCTTAAACTTGTGTCATGTGACCAGCACCAAAAAATTACACCCCAAGTGGCAGGATGGAGTAACAGAACTGTTACCTTTTGTTAAAATAGGTGAATATAAAGAGATTGGTGAACGTGTTTCTTTACAAATGCTTGCTTTTACAGCACCTAAAAGTACATGCACAACTAAAAACAAACTAATGTCACATCCTTCAAGGATACTGACCGGTGAAGGGAAAAATTGGCAAAAGCAAGTTACACAAGACAGGATTTGAAGACAGAGCACTGTAATTTTAAAAAGGTTGCTGCTTTAATTGCTGTTTGCATCGCATACATTACTGATATGGACGAAGATCTCAACATAAGTCTTTAATTTTTCTTGCAGATGCATTCTGTTTGATCGGGTGTATCAGCCATTTCCCGATTCTTTTCTTTTCTCATTGTGCAATGGCCAATTTTTTTTCACTCTATGGTAATTTATTATAAACTGTTTTTGCATGGAATTATAATTCAGAGATTTTGCTGGAAATCATCAACAGCAAAAGAAATTGTCTCACTTTCTTTGTTACATTATGCATTTGGTAAAACTTGTGTCATCTTTTACATACATTGTGAATTTTTTTAACGCTGTGATAGACACACAGTGCCTTTGACCCTGCTTCAAAAGCAGATGTCTGGTGCCAATCATGGTTAATTACGTAACTTTTTTGTACTCTGAATCTTTTCTGGTTAATTGGAGAGATAGATGGTCACCAAAGAGTTTCTAAAGATTAACTTCATGTATTCGTAAGCATGAATATTCAGATAGCAGTAAGCTTGATTTTGTTACTCAGATAATGAATCACATGCAGTTTGTGCTTGAAGATTGTGCAGTTGTATACATATGTACATGTGGAACTTGACACGCACATAGGCACATTGTCAAGTGTAGCCTGTGTCCCAACTTGAAAATTGCTCTTGTGCCACAGAATGCACAGGAAGTAGTTTCAATTTGATTATATGCTACGGTAGCCACCTAGTTCAGAGGAGTTGATAAGTTTTGGGAAAGTAATTTATCTTGCTGTCATATGATGAAAGGATTTTCATGTTCAACTTACGGATGGAATTTTAAGGAATATGTGTTGCATTTTGTTCCCCACCGGTCTGTTCAAGAAATTCTCTGTCTCGTATCTTCCATCTCTCACCGCTCGAGCAATGTATTAATTGTGTAGTTACCATTTCACACAGTTTCAAATAACTGTTGCTTGAGTGTTTGAAAACAGAAGTAACTTTGTAATTTGATCATGTTGTGAAAATTTTGAGATTATATGTTCGTGTACTTTGTGATGTTTGAACCTCTCTGAACTGGTCTTACAAGGAAGTGCTGCAGTATGGTTGGAGTGAGCATGTCGCAAGTTGAAGTGCTGTACAAATCAGTGGACTTGAAGTCTAAGCTGCTTAAAAAAAGACCATAAAAATTGATTAACTTTACTATCAAAATATTTCCAGTTTTGGCCTTCTGCCACGGAAATATCCATTCAAGAGTTTTCTAAAAACCACCTGACCAAGTTTTGAACACAGATATATTTATTTGAAATTGAATTCTTCCGTTCAGAATGTACAAAAGAGAAGAAATATTTAATTTATTATTGAACTGCAAGACTATGTGACTTGAACATGGGAAGAGAAGTACTGTACATTTGTAGTACATGTAAGTACAAAAACTGTTGCTGTACGGACATGTACCTGTACATAAGGTAGTTGTTGGACTTGTGCTGAACTGTAAAGTGCTTGTGTTTTATTAAAGAAGGCTGTCGGTTCTCCAAACAAGGGGTGAAGAATTGAACCAGTAGTGATTATAATGCACACTAAATTTACTTTGGTTATTGGCAGTCTCTCATGAAGGTCAGGTGGAGTTGCAAAGCAGTTTACTGGGAGCTTTTTCAGAGCTCGACATGTACGTCACATTCTTGGGACTGCTAACTTTGATGATACTTTGCAAATTTACAAGCTGCTTGGCTGCATGGAGTGTTGCCACTGTTATTTGTGCCCAACTACTGATATGGGGCATTTGGTCTTCATACCGGTAGTTGATTCATTGGGCAAATTCTCAGAAAAAAATTAAAATGACAACAAATGTTGTATTGCAATGGAAACTAATAGTGCTCTCATGAATTACTCCAGAAAATATTGGAATGTTATTATATGTTTTTCTTATCTGGAGTGAGAGACAGATTGCAGACAAGGCAGAAGAATTCCACAATAATAAGTTAGGGGCGTGGCGGGCTTCATTCCCGACCAACTACCCACCCACCCACCCAAAAACCACCTGCAACCTTGCCAACATCCAGAAGTAGATTTTTCACCGTTTGCCACGTATGTTCATGGGCAAACAACCGTTCCCTCACAATTTTCCATGCTTTGCGTAAAAGTTCAACCAAACTGGGACTGATTCAGTTTTTATATGGTATTGGCAAGTAACTACTTTTCTTTCACAGATAAAATAGTGTACATTATGTGTAAGAAATATTGTTCAATGTAATTTATGAATTTAACATTAGAGGAAACTGTTTAGCTGCAATAGTACAGTGTATATTTGTTAACTGGTGATGCCATTGAGGTACAGTATATCTATCCGTAGATACAAGTTAAAGGGGAACACGCAATTGATGGTAATGGGTCGCATTGCATCCTAGTGTATTTTGATGTACATGTATTCTTGGTTTTTAGAGCTTGATCATCCAGTCTCAAGCTGTATACCAAACTTGTAAGTGCATTCATTTTAATAAGCAAACATTGGCCAGTATTCTTCTTTGTATCTGGCACAGCCGGGAGGGAATTCATTCCTTCGTTTCCAAAAGCATAGTTGTCTCCAGATCAGTAGTAATTGATGAACGTTTTGTTCTTTTTTAGAAGCTCATGGTTTAAGTCTTATATGTGAGAAGGTATCGAAGTGTTGTAGTTGAGTCCACCATGACTGTGCAATCATGAGTCCTTTCACAAGATCGGTCATATGTAGTGGAACGAACAAGGGGGCAGAAATGCTTTTGCCACAGTTCATTTGAATAGCTTGTATCGTGGCTTAAGACTGACTGGCTTGAGATGGACTTTTGACGCACCTCTAGGGGATTGACTTCTACCCTAGAGGGTAAATATGCAAGACTTTTAACCACTTCAGTCCCAAAAGTGGTATATCCCAGGTTGTGTCATGCAGCAGCAAATCCCTGCTCCTTGGATGTCCCATCGCATTAGTTTAGTTGTAATTCAGACATAAAGAGTTGGAGAAGATAAAGGAGCTAAGAAATATATGCTTAGTCTTCTTCCGGAGACCCTGTCTAGACTTCTACATTTTTATCAGTTCATCTTCAAAGTAGCATCACCACTGTGCTTCGTGTAAAAAGAAATCCTAGAAGTCTGTCCAAGAATTTGGGATCATGTCTTTGAAAGTATTCTTGCCACAGTAATCGAGGAGTTTTTGAAATACCATGAAAAAAAAGCATCTGAACATTGTACATATGTAATCACCAACATCAACTGCAGAATATTTTTGTGATGCAGTTTTCACAAAGGTGTCCCTTATTAACACACGTGTATGTGGGCGGTGCAGAGTTCATGCGCAAAGCATGTAAATGTACTTGTAATTTGCTCTTGTCAGTATGTAGTGGGGGGAGAACTAGGCACACGGCTCATTGTTACAATGGCATACTGTTTTTGTACAATGCTGAGCGCAGTGTTTGATAAGCCAGACTTCTCCTATTCAGTATTCATGTCAGTGATGGTATATCAATTGTTGTCATTCATTGTACTGACAACACCTTTGATTTATTTGTTCAAGAGCTTTTTGCAATTGAGAATCACATTGGAGACAGTATTTTCTTTGGAAGGATAAAATAAGAAGGTATTTTGGAGTCCAAGGAAGAAAAAAGGAAAGGTGCTCTTAGACATATCTTGATTTGGGGGAATCTGTTGAAGCAAATTTGTTTCTGTCCAAATTAACTTCAAACTATTTATCATGAAAACTTGCACTTTTGTATGTATAAAAGTCAGGAACCCATAATGGTTTCTCAATTTAGTGTATTTATGATGCAGGTGAACATGCTGTAATTTGTACTTAAAAGTTAAAAGATACAGAGATGAATCTCTCTCTGAATTCTGTAAAATTGGTAAATAAAAGAATGTGTTTCTTTTAAGAGATGTACAGTGTTCACGTTTTGTGTCAGTCATGCACGTTTTTGGTTAAGCATACCGTTACATCTGCAACATAATTCCAGGTTTTTGATGTTATGGTTGTTTATGTTTTCCCTTTGTTTCACTATTTGAAATATTTGACAGTTTTTATCATTTTATACATATATTCATAAAAAATACAGCTCCATTGCGTTTGGACATAGGTAAGTTGGAATACTTCTAAAAAGTTTAGGAATCTTAGGAAAAAATTCGGACAAAGGTGTTGTGTGTTGAAGTGTTTCTGGCCTGGTCAAATTTAACAAAATAGGTATTCTTTTCACTTTCAGTCTTCAAAAGGTGTACAATTATGAACATACATATCGAGACATTGAGGCATTGGGGCTTGGAAAAAATCTGCTCTCTGCCAGAAATTAGAAAAACAACACAAAATTTAGGATGACCACCACAATAAGAATTTTCATCTGAAACTTTAATGTGTATTTCGTTTTGGAAAGATTTTATTTTAATAGCTTTGCAGTATAATGAATTCATGTTTTAAATCTGCAGATTTCAAATACTTAAAAAGCAATTTTTTGGGGGGGCTGCTTGCATTTTTCAAGAGAAGAATTTTATGATTAAATTGGTTGCAGATTCAATTCACAACTGTTGTATTATCAAGCGTGTTGAAACCAAGCATCTGTTGTGCAGTACTTATTCCTTCCTAAATAATTCTATTTTAAATGCTTGTTGGTTTTATTACCTGATTGAAGAGTTCCTTAATTTCTCCTTTTTCTACGACATACATGTATTTTATATGAATGAATGTTCCCATAGACCAATCTTAACTGCTGTTATCCCCTGCAACTGTTGCAATGTTGAAAATTGAAAATGTGTTCATCTGGCCCAAACCCATCCAAGCCGTTGACTGATGAAGATGCGGTTAATATCCACTGCAGTGAGATCAAATCAAGAAGCATAATGATTAGTATACAATTTATTAGACATGAACTGAAAGTGAAAAGCTTTTCAAAGATTGCTTGATTACTTTTTCAGTGTTTGCAGTTTGTTACTTTGAAACTTCTAAATGGGATGAGACTTTTTCGGACATCCAAACCTTTCGTCTACAAACCCCCAAGGCTCAGAATGTTTGGTAAACTTGTACACACTCTATTTGATGCAAACCCTAATGCACATAATGTCGCGTCAAGGCATACCTTTGTGATGTGAATTTGCAAAATTTGAACTCTTTTTAGCATGGGTGTATTTTGCTGCGAATATGTTTTTGAAATTTGGTTTAAGACTTGAGCTTTAGAAGTCATTCCTGACTCTTTGTCAGAGAGGGATAATTTGAATGAAAGTGTGACCAAAGCAACTCAGCAACTCGATGTAGCCACGGTTGAACCTGTGACCAGAATCTAATATGTGTTGAGAAACTTTCTTCAACCAGTACCCATGTGAGTGTATCTACCAATTTCTCAGTGAGGTTCAACAAGATTAATGCAAACTTCATTATAGCAGACCTTCAAGTTTACAAAGAAGCTTGAGGATGATAGTGCCACCCTGAGCACTGGTACAGTAGAAATGAAGAAATTATAGTGCACTTACGAGACAACGCATGATTTGCGTCGAGATTGGGTGCGAAGAGTGCGCAGCTTGCGATCCTGAGAGCTCTCACCAGCATAGTACCCAATATCCCGTGGCTCAGCATGACGAACCTGAATGGCCAGTTAAAATTTCAAGTATTCAGCACACATAGTATGGATAAAAATAAGAGAAAAATGCTACGTTGAGTTTCTGGATGTTCTTCGAATGAGCTCCACGCATCCCATTAAGAAAAATGCATCAGTGCTGTGTCTCCCAGGTTCCTCATGAGGCATGAGGTTTCACCACTGGGCCACAGAGCCCTTGTGTACATGTATTATCCTTTTCCAAATTACCACAAAGTAGCCCATTTTTACAAAATAATGTTTCGTGGTCACACCACACCAACTTTGCAAACCGACCTACTGAGGGTTTCCCTCATCACCACTGCCTCCACAGGGCACTGGGAAGGGTAAATGCATGGTATAATCTTTGTTGAACACACTGGACAGAGTCAGAAGTTGCCAGAACCACTTTCAAGTGACAGGCCTGTAACAGAATCTTGCACACTGTCAATCAATAGGAGCCCTCAACATCGTTCACCTGCATGTCCATTTTCATGAAGATGTCAGCCAACTAAGTAGTATCGAAATAAAGCTTAGTTGGCTCTTTCCAATGCAAACTGAAGGAAAATAATTGAAGAACAAACGATCATAGCCCTAACCCCCAAGGCTTCGTGTAAATCTTGGCATGGTTAGGCTGAAGAAAGGGACTCATTTTGTGGGAACCAGTCAAGTAAACACATCTGTGATTTTTTGTTTCAGAGTTTTTGGGGGGCAGGACTGTTTTTTTGGGGGGTGGTGGTAAAGCCCTCATCAGCAACAAACTGATAAACGTTAATTATGGAAGTGGGTCAATATTATTCTCAAGAGAAAATCTCCTCCATTGTTTTGTTTCTTTAACTTTCTCCTTTTACCTGGGGGGGGCACAAGCAATGCCCATGTCTACATCGGTAAAGATTAAATGATGATGACGATGACAGACCTTGTGGCCTCGAAAAATCTGCAGCAACATCTGCTCCTGGACGTCCACCATCATGTCCTTGATGCGCTCCTTAAGGGGATCCCTGCGAGCACCCGGCTGCACTTCATCTTCCGCCTCCTGGATGCGGCGAACCCGCTCCAAGGCGCAGGCGTGGTCGGCCTCCTTGATGGAATGACTGGCAGCAAAGACAGCAACACATTCATGATGAATGTGAGGGCGTCAGATAATACCAAGAACGGATGAAAAGTGCACCAATATAAATGCAAGTTTCCATTATAAACGGCCATCTGGTGTCCAGGCCGCCTCACCTGAGATTTCCCATTAACTGCTAGAAATATTTCGTAGCCCCTTCCTTACCCAGATGTTGACAAAAACTATGATTACTTTGAAGCCCCCCAAACAAAATTCCATCTTGCTGACTTCATACTCTCCTCTCTGAAACTAAGTGAGAAATATGCCAAGCAGGGACTTTCAAGAACGTAGATGTTTGACATCTTACCGTCGCAACATTTCCTCCATAGCTGTCATCTTGTGCTGATCTGTTTCAACCTCTTCTTTCTCTTCCTTCTCATTCTCTGCCATCTGTGATAAAGGAAAAGCAAAGTCAGATGAAATGAGCTCCAAGATAAAAATATTCTTTAATTAAGACTTGTTTTGAATGGCTCGTTTTGCTTGCTGCTCTTCTGAATGATGCATACAATCAGAAACCTTGGCGTGGTTTCACAGACAAAAATACTTAATACAGGAGTTTGGCATTGTGCAGGAAATTTCAAGTATACTGCCAGTGTGTCATCTAAAATTTGAAAGCACCCAGACACTGGGCTGTTGCAGAGGGACTAACATGCCTACTTGCAACAAATTTTTGTACTAAACCATAACCTTAATACAGAAATATTTCTGTCTACTTGTTGAATAATGGTTTAGGTTTGGCTGCAAAAACTGGATTGTTTGAAATATATTGTTGTTTTATTTTTGTCCCTGATGCATGGTTCAAAAGAGTTTAAGAGGGAACATCTCCACCTCTTTGTTAAACCTACACTACCTTTACTTTCACTGTGCAAACACTTGTCACGCATCGTTTAGAAATTAAAAGTTACTTGGCCCATCTGTGAATGAAACACCTTCCCTCCAAATAGCCCAGTGGTGTGAACTGCAGTAAGTTGGATGATCTATCCCCTGTGACGCTGGACTTACCACCACGCTGTTGAAGACCCTGACCAATTCCTGCTGGGTCAGATCCTTCATGTAGGAGGAGCGGCGCTGTACGGGGTCCAGTTTCTTCTTGCCACTGCTGAGCAGCCGGGCCTCGTTCACACGGTGCCTTCGCTCGTTCTCTTCCTGTCAGTTGTCATGAGTTCATCCAAGAATATTTAAACCCAGTGGCAGTGTTTATACAGCATTTGTTTTAGTGCTTATGCTGGAAATAAAGCAATAGAATGAAGGCAATATCTTGGCCGATTTTCCAATACTCAACTGAGGCTCCGTCTCAGGCTTCAACTGTTTTTAACTACCAGACTTTTAAGCTGGAAGCACAGTAATCATTTTAATAGTGCCACAAAACATCAAATAAGATGCAAGAGAGCAAAAACTTGCAGCAATCCAATTTGCATAAACACTTCAGGCGCACAATCGTAGATCGGTTTTGGGAACAAAGCCTGAGACAGAGACGAAGTTGAGTATTGGAAAACGGCCCTTGACACCCTGGAGACAATGAGTTCAAGACGTTATCGGCTTGCTGTGACTAGTGGATTCCATGTGCACATGTATATGGCCCAATCTGGGTAAACTTGTGAAACAAAACCTGTGCCATTTACTATGCAATGAACCTCAAGACCCTTTCTACCTTGATTGACACAGAAATGCAACTGCTCTGTCAATGCCACAAATATTGCGGTCTAATACTTTTGAGATGGGAAATACAGGAATCTGAAGGGATTTCTCTCTTTCTTCAAATTTTGATTAGATATGCCAATTCTGCTAAAGGGTTACAAAAACCCTCTGAAGGCAATACATGATGGAGTTGGAAAGTGACAGCCATGTGCAATTTTGAATGAATGACTTACAGCCATGTGGAATTTCATGAGCAGCGTAGCTCGCTTGAAGCTGAGCACAAAGTCATCTTTGAGCTCGTTGAAAATATCCCCGATGGCATGGTTCTCTTCCTCGTGAACTTCCTGAAAAAGAATGCGGCAAAAGGAATTCAGAACTGCAGGATTTGGGTCAGATGCTGATCATGCTATAATCCCAAATATTTATAAATTCAGCCATAATTTTAATTAACTTCCCCACCCCCCCAAAAAATATGTATTTAGCAGTGCATAAAAAGTGTGTGACTGCATTTAGCTAAAACATTTGCCATTACTTAAAATTGCTAGCTGGAACTCCGAACTGTATAATTTAGAACTGTCCAGTCAGAATTTCACGCAAGACCTATCAATCAGCAAATACCAAGAATGTTTGTATGTGTGTCTTTTCTTTTTTAAACCTCAAATCATAGTAAAAAATTCCAATGATTTACCTCCAGATCATGAACAGCATTGCTCAGTTCATCCTGGATCTCCTGCCACAATTTGCTGACCTTAGACAGTGACCTCAACATCTCGCGGAAATTTGCATCACCGGAGGACTGAAAAAAGTTCACAAAGACCTCATAAGAATCTGTCCCCTTTGCCATGTGCTGTCTACAGACTGATCTATTAGCAGCAGTGTGCCTTGAAACATGCTGGGCACAGAATCAATGCTATAATTATGACAATGTCACATCACAGATGTTACAATATTCATTACATCAGGTAGACTCATCTGCAACTTCAAGCTGGAAACTTCAGTAGTAATGATTTGTATAGAAAAACTGTACAAACCAACCTGGAAGCAAGCTGTAATGAGTTTGCATCATCCAGATAAAAAACTGACACAGAGAGGGCTTTTGGTCAATACATGTAAATATTAATCTCACAAGCTGTTTTTCGGCAGGCAAAGAGGAGTTCTGCACATGGCATCAATGTGCGGTCCAGTCAACCCGGCCTAACACGTGAACAACGTAATATGCCAAACCTTCTTCACAAATCCAAGACGTTCAGAATTTTCAAAACATCAGATGGATAATTCCAATATTTAAGGACCAAAAGAAACAAACAGAAATTCTCCCAAGGTACGAGGCCTAGAGGTTGTGGTCAAGAAATCTAATTACCTTTTCCTCGTCGGTCAGCTCAGACATGATGGTCATGCGGCGGTGTCTCTCCTCCTCCACGGCCTGCTGGATATTCTTGGCGTTGTCTCGGTAAAGCAGCTGGGCCATGACACAGTCTTTATCCTCCATCAGTGCCTGCCTCTTGCCCATCTCCTCTTTCTGTTGCTCTTCCTTAGGGATGAAAACAGAAAAACCAGTAGGCACAAAGGACATCAATCCATTTAAGAATTTTGTGGCATAGATCAGCATCAACAATGCTGGAACAGAGACAGAATAGGCAGCAACACTTCTCTCTCAAGACAACAGCTTTGGAAATGAAGTCTGAAATGTAGAATAAAAACAGTGAGACTCGTCACACTTGTGATGAATGAATTTCTGGGTTTGCTTCCCTTTTCCCACTTCACATTTCCCAGTAAACGTAAGTTAATTGTTAATTTTGCAAAGACATTCAATGTTGTAACTAGTATCTACCCCCAACAGGTGAATGAGTACACGCTGCTTTGGCCTTCCATTGTGTCTGTTAACAGTTCAAACTGCAGAAGTTGGTCTCTGGCCACCAATTGAGAAAAAACTTTAACTTAATCATCGTAGCCCCTTAAAGTGTTTGGGTACACCAGTATGTTTTTTGAAACAAATGCAAATGTACCTCATTGAAGGCAATGATGCGCTTGAACTCCTTGTTCAAAGGGGAGAGAAGGCTTCCAGCTTGCTGCATTTCACGAGCTTCATTCTTCATGCGACGATGCTGCTCAAAGTCGCAGGCTCTTAAGGTGAAAAGATAGAAAGATGGGCCGTCCACAAAAATGAATAGGCTTATCAAAGTACATGATGACTATGACTGAAAACTGATACCTTACATTTGTCAGGCTAAAACCATGTTTACTACAGCAGACGTCTTAAGTGTGAGTTGCTTTATTTTCCCACTAAGCTTTCAATATCCTACCCCAAAATACTATGGCTAAAAGATCCTACCTCACAAACTGGCAAGAAGTGAGCCAGGCAGATTTTGGCAGAAAAAAAACAAAGCAAATTTGGGCAGGAATACATCCCCTGTCTCATCAAAACCTTAGCATCCCCTGTAATGATTTGCCCCTGACCAACAAAAATTAACACAGCATACTGGTTGACCGCGCAGATGGTGAGTCGTCTAGTGGTGCGTTCCAGGGGTTTTTGCAAGGCTCGAACATCACACTTGTCAGCTGACTGAGGGGCCATCTCCCAATGCTTGCCACTGTAAAAATGCCCGCTGGGCTTGGCCATAGAACGGGAAGTCTGAATCTGCAACAACCACAAGAATAAAGACATTCGGTTTAATACTCTATAAAAGCATTAAGCTTTACCAGTATTTAACCGCAGAAACTGAAGAACTAATTCAAACAATTCCTTACTTTAATTAGGAGTTATCTTAAATTCTGTATTTGTTCAAAGTTTTCTATTCAATGTTTAATCATATTCAGCTCCAGTGTACATTTCCTATGAATGCAATATAAATGCATGTCACCGTTCGATCGTTTCGGGAGTATACAGTGTTAAAATACACGTCGGGCAGGGCTAAAATCTAAAATTAATTTAGGAGAGATTGGTTATGAAAGGGAGATCCAAGCATGATGGATGAGTGAGACCAATTTACTGGTTTTGTTTATCTTAATGCCTTAGCAAGTTTGCTTTAACAGAAATTTCAGATGAAAGAACTGATTAAAAAATACAACAGATTCTGTAAATAGTACTGGTATTCATGGTTACGTGATCTGGAAAAATGGCACACTATGGGGGAACTCACAAAACAATAAAAACATCTCACTAAACCAAGGACCTTTGAGGGAAAGGTTGCAGGAAACTAATTAATAGGGACTCACAACACCAATATTTGACCTCAAAAAGGACAACAGAATTTATCAATGAAAAAGAACCCCTCCCCAAAAAACAAAAAGACTACAAGATTGAAAAGACTAAACACCAAAAGGCTAAAACTTTAAAAGGACTAAAGACCAACACAGTGTGTCAAAATAAATCTAATGAAGAGACTTTTGCTTTCAATCAATGACTTTTTAGAAGCAGACAGAAACCTGACTCAAGAAGAAAAGCACACTCCAGAGAGGAGGAGCAAATATATGAACCTTGACAGTGTCTCTGCCGGACTGCTACACTGAGTGTGGTCAGAGCATCGGGGCCAAGTTACATGTGTCTCTGCTGGTCTGCTACAGTGAGTGTGGTCAGAGCATGGGGGCTAAGTTATGTGAGTTGAAGCAAGGGCCAAAGTAAACACCGGTAAACAGGGGGATTTACACTGAGAAAAATACAGAGAAACTCTGAACTAAAACTGTGCAGTTTTATAGGGGAACTACTCTGATAAAGAGACGTATTTAATAACAAACATATTTCTGTCTCTGCTACAATTAAAACAGAATGCAAGATAAGGATTATAAATGTAATGGCAAAGAACTTTACAGAAAGAAGCATGAAGAGTAGTTTTATGTAAAGACAAAAACTTGAGTAGTTGAGTAGACAGGAAGACCAAATATGAAAGTGCATTGAACTTGTGATGGCGTCATCTTAACAGTCAATAAATGCCCAGGCAGGGCTGCAATCCAGTTAACTACAAGTCAAACCAAAGTCACCAAGTCGGTTCAAAAGTTAGAACATCACCCAGTATACAAGTAATAAGGGGGGGGGTGAATGACAACAATGGATGGAATAGAAAGCTTTCATCTGTCACAGTTCATTGGAACAGTGTATGACTAGTGCCCCGGCTCATGATGACTGGAGCTACAATTCAGAAACCAAGATGAAAAGAGAAGTGGTAAAGATGCACTTGTGAAAGTTCAGGACAGAAAGAACTGTTGAATAAAGAACAAAGAAATGTGTACTTGCAGGAATTTTAATCAGCATATGGGCAACAGTGAGAAAAATTTCTGAATAAAATAGGAGTTCCCACTCGACATATTCAGCCCTTAAACCCTGTGGCAACCGTCTTAGCTTTTACCTGGTAAAATCCCGGTCTGCGGGGGATGCCTGTCTTGACCAGGCGACGATGGAACTTCTCCTTGATGCGGCTAGACAGATCCAGGTGGTACATCCTCTCTGGTTCTTCAGCGTCATAGTCCTCATCTTCATCATCAGTCAGTCTGCCTCCCTGAGGAGGTTTTCCCTCAGACGCTTGGCTCGTGTACTGGAGAATGGAAGGTCAAGATGATATGGCAAGATGATGCCATTGTACAATTGATGAAGCCCTAATTCCTCCATGACTGCAAGGTTTGTTTGAAGTAGATGCAAAAGTTCCTGGGCTAATAAAACTGGAGAAGAATGTTGCATCTTGACTCCACATCAGCAGTTGTTGTATAAAGACTATGGGAGTAAAAAACTTTAATGCAGTTGCTATTGTTATGGAAGTTTAGATAGGTTTTTGTCGACTTTCTTGCACCAGTTGGGTGCTGTGGAAACATTAACCAGACCAGTCTAATGAATCTCATCCCTTTTTAAAAATCCTCAAGGGGTATGAATCTACCAAAACAAAAAGAAAAACATGGATTGAAAGTGAAAAAAAAAAGAAAAAGAAAATGAAGATTGGAAATAAATGGATAAAAATCTGTAACAAGTGGGCTCAATTCCAGTATGTTGGGATTGCATAGTGGTGTGTGTACTGGTGGAGCCATTAGGCATTACTATGCCACAACGGTAATGGGAAATTAAGACCATACAGGCAATGATAACTGTGTAGTGCCATAACTGTAGAATTTGGAATGCATGTTACAGTTACTGTAACAATAGCCATTTTGAAAAATTTAGGCTTAGCGTCAGGTCGATCTCCTAAGACCTAACAAAATTGGGCATTTTTCTCAGTGCCAGATTCACGTCTTTACAGCATTCCTGCAATTGACAGACCTCAGGCTCACGTCACACAAAGTGGTGATCGACTTGGAGTTCTGCAACTGTGATAGGCCTAGGCTACATTCTTTCCTAAAGGATAAAACCCTGGCTAAAACTAGGCTAGGAGATATTCTAACAATCTGGCCTTTGGAACACTCAGTTCATTTGTATCCTGATTGTACGACTCAGGGATTTTCAAATAGGTTTTTTTCCCCGGTGTTTTTTTACTTCTGAAAGCTGAAAACACAAATAAAGTGCACGTGAACATCACGCGTCATCTACGCTAATGCACTTGCCAGGTTGTATTCCCAGTCTCTTGAAGACATGCTGAGCAACTTTCTCGTGAGACGTAAGTGAAAATATCTTAGTTTTTTCTTCTAAGATCTAGCAGCAACACTCGAATTCGGTTCTCGTCCGTCTTAAGAGGTTTGTTTACGTCTAGCGCGTCTGTGCAACGCTACGCTAGTTAGTCTGTACGTATAACGTAGATGATGTAGGCCTACTTTGCACGCAGCGTGTAGTGCAAGGTAGCAACCATTGACCAACTTTGCACGCTTTTGTTATTTTACACGGCGCCCTCTGTTGACATCCTCCAGCCAACGCGAACTTTTAGCCAATCGCAAAGACGCTAACAGAAGACAAAGGTTACTATGGTTATTCCATAGAGCTATATATAGCTCTACTGGAATTTTCAGACAAATTGCATTCTCACGGCCAAAAATGTTACGAGCAAAAGATCCTTTATGATGTGACGTGCAGGGTATGAGGGGATGGCCCACAGTGTGTGGGTGGGGTGGGGGTCACCATAAAAAAAAATACCAGCCATGAACTTAACATTAAATTTTGCTCATATAAAGGAATAAAACTGATGCAACTGAAGACAAGATCTGCAGATGTATGAAGACCAACATAGTGATCGTTTTTATTTCCTGCTTTCCTGGCTTGTTCTCACTGAACATTAAGAGAGGGAAGACATTCAACCAAATGCAGTTTCATACATGTATTTGGATTCCACGTTCTTGGTATTGTTTTGGTACGCCTAGGTAGATGTTTCCAACTCCAAGTTATTGTCAGGGCACGAGAATGAAACCAATTTATGAGAGTGCAATGTGTGAGAATATACAGAAGACATAAAAAACCAAAAAAACAAATGCAGACCAAAGTAAAATGAAGTTTCATACCTCAACAGCTATCCCATTGTAAAACTGAGCAGAACAAGGCAACAAAATCTGCCTTTATTCTTGGCATACATCCTGACATTTAAAGCTAAACATCAAGGATTGAGAGGAAAATAAATGCATGATGCAAACTTTACAACTTAGAGAAAAAGAACCGAACAAACTGAGCTTGGTGTGTACACCAACCGTCTGCAGTCCACTTGACACCAACGAACGTATATTCCCCGTGTTCTGAGTAAAATCTGGAAAAAGAAGTTTTCAACGATCGTGCCGGTATAAGATCTATTGCCCAAAGCAACAACTTCTTTCCAAAATTTCACTTCATATCATGCATCATCTGCAGACGAATTGTATAACAGGTAGTCTTAAAAAGAAAAAAAAAAAGAAGACGACAGAAAGAAAATGAATTCACATTCAAACCACCACACAACCTGAGAAACAGTCTTTTGAAGAGAACTTGAAAAAACACTGGAACCTCCGCATTCCCCTCTGGCAACTAAGCCCCGCCCCATATTCAGACAGAGCAACTGCTTTGCTGAAAACAGACTACCCTTTCCCCAAAGTTTACAAAAATTCATCAATGAAAATATGGAGATAAAAATTTTTTATCTTTAAGACAAAGGTTTATAAATTGTAGCAACTTAAACAATACTTTTTGCTGGTAAGGTCAAACTTTTGCAAAACAATTGTAATACATGTATATTATCTCTTCCTTTTGGGTATAACAAAAACAGGGCACTCTTACATTTGTGCAAGTTATAGTTAATTTTCTAGGACATTATTCTTTAAAACTTGGTGGATTTACACTCCTTCCACAAATTCAGAACTAAAAAGGGCTAAAATAACATTTCAGTTGAGCAATACAATAAATCATCCAATCTTAATGCCTGGATTTCTTACACTACATTGTAAAGTGTGCCCCAAATTAGTGCAAGCAAGCACAAATATTTAAAAAATAAAATGTCACCTTGCATTTAGAATATATTAATTATAATATATTGTAAGTTATATTCATAACTTCAGTGGATTTAACAGGGACAAGGTTAACTTGATGCTATTTATGTCGTCTTATTTATTTTTAGTGATCCACAAACATGCCCCAGTAAAGACCAGCGATCAAAATTGAGTTTGTGCCACTTTCCAGTCCAATCACTAGACCTTACTGAAATATCTAAATGCACCTTTAACCTAAACAGTTCAAGTTCAAAGGGGATGCTGAGCACTGAAACAGGATGAGAAGTAATCCTTTCTTCTGAATGTGGCACAAGGTCAATTGCCATGTTTAAATTACAGTAGATGTATGTACTTCCACCTTTTTCTGGGGGACACCCTTTCCACCGTGTTTTCCAAGGAAACAGCCATCAGAGGTTTGTGGTTCAATAAATGTATGTTTGCAAGTAGAAAGAGACACAAACTTACCAAAAATAACTCAATGATTGCTTTTACTGCAGCAGGAAATCAGAAAAATGAGGAAATACCCAGTTGCACAGACACTGTGCAGAGTTTTCCAAGTTGCACTTTTTTTCAGTGATTCTGTTCTAACTTATGATAGCATCTCTAATGCTAAATAACAACTAGCAACTTGAACAAGTTGCTGGCAGATTATTTTGGAGGGTGGAAAACAGATTTTTAATACATAAAGAAATAAAATGCTGTTTGATCTATAAAAACCTTTCTGCAAGCACCAACTGCAATAAAGTATCAACTATCCGGTTAGAGGTGAGGAAAGGATAAACTTGCTCTTTTGTTATTTTCTCATTTGTATCACGTCCACGGAAGTATTTCAGGTTAGTTTCTCGTGTGAAATGCCCCGGAAATTTTCCTAGTATTATTCTATTTGTTGGGTTGTTTGTGGAAGCTTGCCCTGTTCAAAGCTACATTTCTTTCTTCGATCCCTTTGCCTGCAAGAGTTAAATTCAGCATCTAAAAGGGCCTTCCAAAGTTCATTCCTTCCAAATATATTCCATAGCTCCATAAGTGACAACTAATAATATTATGGACAATCCCAAACACTTTACTGCAACTACACATTTCAATGGTCCCCTGTGCTGATAAATGGGCTTTAAGTCATGCATACTTCTCCTATCGTGTCTTGAGAATCTAGAGGGTGCTCTGGACTAGCAGTGTTACTGGGGGAAAAAAAACAGCAAAACTGCAGAAGCATGTTGGTTCTTTTACTGGTAGGGGTTGACTGCTGGTAGTAGTTTGCCCGTGCAGGACCCAAAGCCGACACGGTAGCCATCTCCCTGACAATAACCTGTGGAAAAATGAACACGGAGGCGTGGCATGGAGGCTGTTACAAAGGTCTGAATCTACAGGATGATTTAAGCAATCCTGGCACTGTGATATGAGGACAAGAACACGGCACAGGAAAACCGGATTCCTAAATGTCGAAGGCTAAAGTGTTAAGCTCAAGAATCAAACCTGAATCCAGTTTTGCCCACTGGAATAGCACTGAAAGGAGCTGCACTTTGCACTTCACTGGAATTTGAATCAGTATTTTAATTCTGTTCATTTTTATCTACCAAATTAGCAGTTTTTCCTTGAATGTGGCACCAATCATCCACAATTCGCACCACTTATAACTTGAAATGAAAAAAGTCAAACTTACGAGCTGCAAAGGTTACACCAATTTGTACCCCCCCCCCAAAAATTTCACAATCCATAATGCTACCTGTGAGGATAACTTCATCTCCATCCTTCAGGAATTTGCGTTTGATTCCGTTGCCGAGATCCACTTCCCTGGTGCCTTTCCAGCACAGTTCCAGCATGCAGCCAAGTGAGTCATCGGTCTTTAAGAAGACACATATTAAAAAATCTGACTTAAAGTTTCGGAGTAACGCTGTCTACCCAGTGATAACTCATGTGGGAAAAGTAAGTTCCCTGGGAAGATGATGTGTAGTTTGGATGACGTTGTACTTACTGGACCACTGATGGTGCCAGAGGCCAGAAGATCTCCTGGTTGCATATTACACCCTGTCACAGAATGGTGGGCCAGCTGCTGTTTCATAGTCCAGTACATATACTACAGCAAAGGCAGTCAATATATAAAACAGTAAACACTCAATATATAACTATGACATTGGGCCGGGGGCAGTAAATCAAACCACAGACAACATAAATCAAAATAGGAAACACTAAACATGAAATTTAAAATACTAAATTTGTACGGCCTAATGAGTAAGGAGACTGATTTTTTGAAGAAAGAAATTACAACAAAGAGCATCCTTGCATGAAGCAAAAGCGTTCACAAAAATATCCCCACGAAAGTCCAAGCAATCGGGCCGACTAAGAGAGCCACTGGGCCTCACCTTGAAGTTGGTGCGGCTGACCACCGCCGGTCCGTTGGTCCCCTCAGCAGAGATCGCAGCTGTTAGGTTGATGTCAAAGTTGAAGTTGTCCTCGTGCTGAAGATACGGAAGAGGCTTGGGGTCCTGGAAGATTTGGTTAATAAGATGTTGTTGACTAGATGAAAAACTTCAAAGAAGACTACTTCATTACTAGCTATTGTTTCCTGTCTCATTTCTTATTCACAGTCCTAAAATCAAATGACACAGAAGCATTCCTTTCTTACTATTTATGCTTCGTTACATACCTATTCCCCATCACTTATGAATCAACACGTGATTTCATTACTGGCCCGAATCGTGATATGATTTATGATTTGATTTGCATCTGATCACAGATCTGATTGTGACAGACTTGTAAATTGATTTGTTACAGACTTCACCACAACTGCAATTTCAATGTTTTATGCAAAATAAAAGTGTGAATGAATCCTCACCGCCAAAGTAATTTCTATGACGTGTTTGTGACAAAGGGGCCTTGCAATGTTCCACTGACCTGTGTGTGGTTTGTCACAATGAAGGGGGCAAGTGCTTCCATGGTCACCACCCAGGGGGAAATGGTGGTCCCCAGGTTCTTGCCCAAGAAGGGACCCAGAGGTACGTACTCCCACTTCTGGATGTCACGGGCTAAAAACATAGAGAATCCAAGGTAAACAACTCAAAATGCAATCGGCAATGGTGACAGGAAATCTTACAATAGTTGGCTTGTATTTGTTTCTGTGTGTAGCCTCTAATACTGGGGCTGAAGGCACTATGCACGCACAACTTGAAGCACCCCCTCACTGGCAAAGGAGAGACAAGTCGATAGGAATCATTTCAACTGGGTGCCGGTAAGAATGAAGAAACTGTACATTCCAGCATTAATTAGTCCCATGTGCTCGGCAATTTATGCCCCAAACATGTATAAATCTGGGCGTGCGCAAGCCCAACTGGACACAACTTTGAAAATGACGCCTGTCGACACTGACCGCTCCAGTCGTTCACGACCACCATGCCGAAGATGTGATCCTGGGCCTTGCTGATAGGGATGGGTTCACCCAGTTTGTTGCCAGGACCAGTGAAGAATGCCTGGAAAAGGAAATAAACACATACGGCTCTCGGCATTGAAATAAAATTATGCTTCTGACATTCACAACAGTTTGCCATTGATTGCCGACCAATGAGAGAGAAAAAAGAATGGTTAATGGGCTGCAGAAGTTTCCACTGTTCTTTGACCAACTTCACTTTGAACACCCTTCAATAGTCTTCCATTATGCATGTATTCGTTTATTAATGGGTGTCCATATAATGGAGAGCATCTTTGTTCTGTTCTGTAAGGACCACACGGTTATAGCAGTGACTGTGGGAACAAAAACTTGTGTGGAGAGACCGAAAACTCCTAACTCGATCCAATTTTTCCTGCCTATTAAAATTTGCCCCTCAACAGTGCTCCCCAAGGCCCACCTGCAAGCCGATCATGAACACAAGTACTGCTGTGGCATTAGCATCTTTCTTAACAAACAACAATGTCAAAACAACTCTGAACGTTTGAATTTATCCGCTCTTGGCAGACGGTGCATTTGTGGGAACAACGTATGACTCATATCTTACCATTTCCAGTTCAAAGTCCATCAATTTGCAAGGACCAAAAACTGGAGACTGGCCTGAAGGGAAGAGTGATAAAGGAGAAAGATGATGCAGCTGTCAACATTGGTTGCTTAGCAATCACTCACTGATGCAGCTGGTTTAAAGACAACCCATCTAGCCAAATTAAATGATTAGATCACTAATTCCTCAGTCCCCGCAAGGAGAAGCTTTGATGTCATCCTGAGCACAGACATGTTAATTCATGTGCGTGTTTGTAGAACACAGTAAAATAGGATGGAATGCATTCTGAATGATGTACTCTAAAATGCAGCATGGAAGTATAATATTTGAAACTTAAAATGCACAAGTGTGTTTTCTATCAGTAATATGACGTTAAAAAGCCCAAGCAAAATATATATCTGGAGTGCATATGGGCATGTCTGTCTTGTTTGAGCTGAGCAAAATGAAATGCTTACTTAATGATAGTGTGTTTGAATAGGTTTATGGCATATCAGCTTTGTCAACACAAAAACGAACCCAGATGTGCAAAAAACGTATAAAAGCCAAACAAAATTTTGAGATCTCCATGGGTTTGTGTACAAATATGGATGCGCCCAGCAAGCTTCACTTTGCGCAGTTTACTTGAAATTTGAATCACAACTTCACTATTGATTCACAAAATATTGATGACCTTACTCTGTGAGTTTAACAATTAGCATAAAATTTTTCTGCTTGTTTTTCTTCATGAGGCCAAATTATGGAGGCTGTTTTCAACCAATAACGATGCTAATGATGGTTGGCAGCACGAAACGTGTCAAAGTAGCCTTACTGTCATCTGTCCTTGTCTGACCGCAGGGACGCCTGATTGGCGTGCCAGAAACCACCACCGATGATGCGCGACCATGGTAACCAACAGGAAGATGCTTCCTATCAAGAAAGAACAAGATTCACTTATTTTCTTTTGCTGTGTCAACATTAATAACAAATTTAACATTGTACTGATCAAAGAAGTCCACAGATACTCACCTGAGGTGTCTGTTAATTGAAAATGTTTCAATTATGAAAGGAGCCCCTACTTAAGAACTTGCTGTATTTCTGTTCTTAATTTGCTTGACAAGGAAGGATCCAAAAAGCAGCGTGCATGAGTTTGGCCAGCGTTGAAACAAGCAAACTCCATCTTTGTCAAGTCTTTCTGTGCAGGGGGAGGGGAAATCTCTGAAGTGTGATGTATCTCGGTATTCCACTCACCAGTTCGGCATGAGGGCGTTTTCTTTACCACGGAACATGATGCCCACGTTGGTGGCGTGGAAGACGGACGAGTAGAAATCTGTGTAGTCCCCAATCTTGACCGGCAGATGCATGATGGCTGAACTCTGGGCCACAAAAGCTCTGAAATGAAAGCAGTTTTTACAGCCGTCAGTCTGACCGGCTTTCAAACTTTGCCCACACCAACTTCATGTCTAATGACGGGTATCATGTATTTGGGGGCACTTTGGCCAACGCAAGGCTTTTAAAGAAACACACTGAATTTTAAGTCTTGAATTACTGGAAACACTTTAAGTTAGACTAAAGAGTGGGACATTTATACATTAAAAAAATTCCAAATCCTTTTACAGATTTTCCCACACGTTCAAATAAATGTAAGTTTCAGAGATTTATTTGCTAAAGTTTGGTTTTCTTTTTGAGTTACTGCATTTTGTATGGGTGGTCTTAAACTTTTGCAAATGACTGTATTGTTTCAAAAGTGAAAACTACAAAACGAACAGGTTCATCTCAGGGTTTGGAGTTCCTAATATGTCAAAGTGAAGAGGAACATAGATGAACTATGCCCACTGGCGGCTAATCTGATGATCAGAATTGGCCTCATTCACAAGTCAGCCATACTAAATTGAAAGTGAGGTTAACTTTTGAATTGGGGAACTCGAAAAAAATAAAAATGAAAGCAACGGAGTGAAAGTCCAATGCAAATTAACATAACGCTGCTAAATACATGTAATTAAGAATTTGAGATTAGTCACATCAAAATGCTTATAGGCAACCTTTAAAAGAACCGGTTGTGAGGCATGAAACCAAGAATTGTCTGCCACTATCCAATTTAACAGATTACATGATCTGATATGAATTCTGGCAGTGCCATTCCTCTTAAGCAAAACATGACTTTTTACTGAGGTACAACCTCTGAAGTTGGAGGGGAAGGATAATTTGAGGTGAAGCAGAGACTTGGACAAGCCCCAAAGAATTGGAATTTACTTTGCTCTGAGGTCGGCATTATCCCTGAGCACTGCCTCGTCGGCTGACAAGATTCTCTGCAGTGTCTGTCGTGCCTCCTTCCAGGCAGGTGGACCCAACGCCATCAGATCATTCAGGACAGGCTGGCATAAGGCAGTTCAAAAACCCAAAACAAGCAAACACATTTACATCATTAGTTTCATCGGCACCGTGCTGAGATATCGTGTGATGTGGTGCAAGCTGAAGGCTGGGAAGCAATTCTTCAATCTTTGAAAGAATTACAACAAAGCCTGAAGGTAGTTGACCACATGTTTCCCAAGGCAAAGGTGAAGGAATTAGTCAGTCAACCTTCAATACTGAGGACAGACTGACTGTTCACCCAACATAAACCGTGTTAGATTTGTTTTACTATGCATCATACATATTCAGTTGCCATTCAGGCTTCATTAAACACACTGATCAATATTTAAAAATGATGCCATCTTCCAAGTGCTGCTTGCACATGTGTACCTCAAACTGATGCTTTTCCAAGAAGCAAAGTAAACTGCTCCCATGGTCAGCAGTGAAACAGTTTATTACATTTGCATACATGACTTGAGCATGGATCCTTGTTTGCATGCCAGTAGCAATTGGTACCTGGTGAGGAATGGACCACTGAGAATTTGGCTTTCTCATAAATATGTATGAAGAATAATGCAAAAGTTATTTGAAATACAATACATGTGCTGTGACTATGTGAATCAGCCAATCCTTTCAGCGCTGTCATAACGAATGCACCTCAATAAAGTTCAAGCTCCAGTAAGGCGCATTTAGCCCATCGTTTTAAAGTGGGCGGAAAGCTGTGCATGTCGTCCCTACCCACAGAATCATGCCCACTTCCTACCTTGTCAAATGCATCCCTGCAGTCCGTCAGGTGTGGTCCACGGAAGAGCTCCTTGACGACCGAGAGGTCCAACACTTGGTCTCCAATAGCAACTCCAATCCGATGCACTGGCTGTTGTGTACAGAAAGTCGGAAAGACAAATGAACCGTGAAAGGTGATACATCTGCTTCAACTAGCCAACAAGTCTATTCTCAACTATTGGGGGGGGGGTCGAGGGACAAGTGCCCCCCCCCCTACTTTTGGCAGGTTCTCTAATGTTTCAAAACAATCTTCCACAACTCAAATTGGAAAGAAAAATTGATACGACCTGATGGCAGAACAGTTGGCAAATTATGTGACGAGATTCCAGATTGTGCACAGATTGAATGATCACATAGATCCCTTAATCGCGTCCAAAACACAGGGTCCCACAGTTGTATGAAAAGTGATCTGGAACTGTCACACATTTACTCACTAATAGGCCATTCACTTACAATTCTAACAATCGAACATGTGGAAACGTTCAGTGCATTTCTGCATAGCATCAAGTAGCGTGAAGGGGAATTTTGCCTCTTTGGAGGGTGTTACAACGTGTACGGGTACATGATTGCCATAGTAAAGTCATGTAGGCCATGAGAATGACTTCGGCCTAACGTTAGGGTCTGAGAAGGCCTACGTGTGTCATGCTGTGTCTAACTCAAGTCCTAATGGAATGCTCATGACACCAGCATGACCGGGAAGTTTGTGCATTGCCACATGCATGACAGGATGTTGTTACGCCCGAACTATAACATCAGTCCCAACTATAGTTAGGACTGTCCCAACTAGAGTGTTATAGTTGGTCCAGTCCAAGTACACCACAGTACCCCCAGAACTGTGGGGTCTGATGTCCGTCCTGCTCCTACAAACACGGACGTTGGACCCCACAGTTCTGGGGGTACCTGTGCTGCACTTGGACCGGACCAGACAGTGTCATGTCATAGATGAAGTGTGATATTTTAGATTGTGTAAAGTGTAAGATGCACAAAATTGGATAAGGTTGAGAAAATCTTTACAGAAACTGGTCAACAATAGTTAGGCCAGCCCAACTGTAGTACTACAGTTGGGATTGTCTCAACTATAGTTGCAACAGACGTAGCCCCAGACCGGGGGCCAGTCTACTGCACTCCTTCCATACCCTAAGCCCCACAGCAATCCATTCAAAAAGTGGAGACTCAGCGAAAATGCCTTCTCGGCAGTTAATCGCTGTAGTAAACAGTGGCCTAAATCGAAACCAAAATTTCACAGATTTCTACAAATTGGAAAATTGCCCAAAGTAATACATTGGGGGTTTGACTGTTGATGGGGTGAATGATCCATACACGCAAAACGGGTTTCACAGAAGGCATTTTCGCCGAGTCTCCACTTTTTGAATGGACTGTTGTGGGGCCTA